AAAAAAAAAAAAAAAAAAAAATGCCAAAATTTAGCCGTTTTTTTGCATTTTTTATTTACTAATATGAAATAGCTGTCTTTTTAGTGTAATTAGATCCTAGTCTCGTTTTTTGGATGTTATTTTTGGCTTAGATATCGTTCTTTTTTTGTCTGCTTTAGCTTATATTATCGCCGGGATCTAAGCGGAAAAAGTAGATTGACACAAAAACTGAGCTTAATTTATCAAGTAGCCAGAAACCAGCTAATCTCGATATTTGACCAGTCCAACTGTTAAATTATCGATAATTAGATACCTTAAGTGAACTACACACCATTAGCTATAAATACAAACAACTTTTGCTGAAATAATCAAATCATGTCCCAAGAACAACATTCATCTACATCTTTTGGGGTTCACTCATCATCCAGTGCAGGTTGTGAAAATATTACAACAGGGGTTTCTAATACAATTAATTTAAAGACCCACATTCCAGCACCACCTAAATCACCAACGCAAAATTATCCAGCCGTTAGTAATGAGAGCAATAGAAAACACATATTAGAGTTTATTGAATCTGATTTTTATAAAAGCAAGATGCAAAAAACAAACCAAGTTTCAGTTGAAGCGGAGGGTAGCACTGTTGAACAGCAAGAGGCTGATATTGGTGCTGATATATCAAAATGCTTCAGTGGTTATCATCACGTGAAATGGTATGTCTCCAATGCAAAACAAGCGGCCAGTTATTTTATTCACTGCTTTGGGTTTCAATGGATAGCTTATAGAGGATTAGAGACTGGATCAAAGGCTATCTCAGGTCATGTTGTTAAGAATGGTGATGTCGTTTTTGAATTTGTATCACCAATTGTTGTTTCCAGTTCCGATCCAATAGTGAATTCACAATTAAACGACATTCACAATTTCATTAAAATTCATGGTGATGGTGTTAAAGATGTTGCATTTGGGGTCAACAATGTTCCAATGGTTTATGCGAATGCAATAAAGAATGGTGCTAAAGAAGTTAGAAGCCCTCAAAAGCTAGGAGATCATTATGGTATTGTTGAATGTGCAACAGTGGAGGTTTTCGATGATGTTCACCACACATTGATTGATTCATCTGGTTATAATGGTCTATTTTTACCTGCATATGTTTTTGTAACAGATAGCAAATCATCTGAATTTTATTTGAATCAGTTACCAAAAGTCAAATTTCTTCAAATTGATCACTGTGTTCAAAATGAAGATTGGAACCAACTGGAAAGGGCATGCTTGATGTATTCAAAGATTTTTGGATTCCACAGATTTTGGTCAGTTGACGAGAAAGCAGTTTCAACTCAATACTCAGCACTTCGTTCAGTTGTCATGGCTTCATCTAACGAGTTAGTTAAAATGCCTATCAATGAGCCAGCAGAAGGTCTTTTCAAATCACAAATAGAAGAATTTATAGAATTCAACAATGGATCTGGTGTTCAACACATAGCATTATTGACTGATGATATAATCACGTGTGTTAAAAACTTAAGATCCAGAGGTGTTTTATTCATTGATATTCCAGCAAAATATTACGATAATTTGAAAAGAAGGCTTCAGCAGTTCAACATCAAGCTTAATGAAAACCTTTCAGAATTGCAAAAGTTGGGAATTTTAGTTGACTTTGATGAAAATGGTTATTTGTTGCAATTATTTACCAAGCCATTAAGTGATAGACCAACTTTTTTTATGGAAATTATTCAAAGAAACAAGCATAATGGATTTGGAGCTGGTAACTTCAAAGCATTATTTGAAAGCATTGAAAGTGAGCAAAAGCTTCGTGGAACCCTAGAGAAGTCTACCCACTCAACCATCATGGAATAACATCACTATTATTTCTATCTTATTGGTAATGAATGACACTTGTGCAGATTGATAAATTTTTTGTAGGATAATAAGTTAATAAGCATCAGTAATTATTATTCAGCCTCTTCACTTACTAACGTTTGCGCAACCGCCGCAATTTGGCAGTGGTACCCGGATCTCGCATATCCTCATTTTGCAAAATTCGAATTTAAAATTCGTAGTACAACCTATTTATATGCAATAAAGTTGTCAAGAATAGCGCTTTCCAAAACAAAGAAGATTTTTGGTAGGAAACAATTGATAAAGTACCGATCTATACATTAGAAGACTGGCCAAAGTGTTGAAGTTTTTGTCCTTGTTTTTTTGATAGTTATTCCCCTGGTTTCTGTTGTTGTTTTTCACGAATTTTTGTTGTCCTTTTTGGCCGCCAGTTACTAATAGAAGTTCAATCATAAGAAAACAGAATATTCAAGATGCCTAATTCTGGGTATGTATCAAAGCTATATATTCGAATCCGTGAAGATTTTTTACTAACTTTTGGGATCTAGGAATTCCGGCATTACTGTGAAGATTGTTGCAGCTGAATCATTATATAAAAGGGATGTTTTCAGAAGTCCTGACCCATTTGCTGTTTTAACAGTTGACGGATCTCAAACTAAATCCACATCTGCTGCTAAGAAGACATTAAATCCTTACTGGAATGAAACATTCCAATTTCAAGCTAATGAAAATTCTATACTTGTGATTCAGGTCTTTGATCAAAAGAAATTCAAAAAGAAGGATCAAGGGTTTTTGGGTGTTGTGAATGTTAGAATAGGAGACGTTATAGATTTGAGTTCATCACACGAAGAAACCATCACTAGAGAATTGAAGAAATCTAATGATAATATAGTTGTCAGTGGAAGATTAATCATTGTTGTTTCACATAATGCTAATGGTAGCAATCGTCCATCAAGACCTGTGTCGACCACAGGTGCATCAAATGTTCAACAAACTTTACAATCAGGTGGTAATGCTGTTCCAAGTCAAGCCAATGGCGCTACTATTAATGCTCCTCCAGCCATTGGAAGTGGTACTCAAAGTCTTGCTGTCAACAACAATAATAGACAATATTCATCATTCGAGGATCAATATGGGAGATTACCGCCAGGTTGGGAAAGAAGAACTGATAATTTCGGTCGTACTTATTATGTGGATCATAATTCAAGAACAACAACTTGGAAAAGACCAACTTTGGAGCAATCTGAAACAGAAAGAGGTCAACAAAGACAAAATTTGACAGATGCTGAACGTAGACAGCATCGTGGTCGTACATTACCAGATGATAGACCATTATCACCAGGTGGAACAAACAATATCACCGTTAATAGTACTGGTACCACTCCTGCTGCAGCTGGAGCATCTGCTGTTTCAATGGCTGCTACTGGTGCTACAACTGCCGGTTTAGGAGAATTACCCCCAGGCTGGGAACAAAGATTTACTCCAGAAGGTCGTGCATATTTTGTGGATCATAACACTAGAACTACTACTTGGGTTGATCCAAGAAGACAACAATATATTAGAACTTATGGTCAAAATACCACAGTTCAACAACAACCTGTTTCACAATTGGGTCCATTACCAAGTGGCTGGGAGATGAGATTAACAAACACAGCAAGAGTTTATTTTGTTGATCATAATACAAAGACTACAACATGGGATGATCCAAGACTACCATCTTCATTAGATCAAAATGTTCCACAATACAAGAGAGATTTTAGAAGAAAAGTTATTTATTTCAGATCACAACCAGCTCTTAGAATTCTGCCAGGTCAATGCCATATTAAAGTTAGAAGAGATCACATATTTGAAGATTCCTATCAAGAAATAATGAGACAAACACCTGAAGACTTGAAGAAAAGATTAATGATTAAATTTGATGGTGAAGAAGGTTTAGATTATGGTGGTGTTTCAAGAGAATTTTTCTTCTTATTATCACATGAAATGTTTAATCCATTTTACTGTTTGTTTGAATATTCTGCTCATGATAACTATACATTACAAATTAATCCAAACTCAAACATTAATCCAGAACATTTGAATTATTTCAAGTTCATTGGTAGAGTTGTTGGTTTAGGTGTTTTCCATAGAAGATTCTTGGATGCCTTCTTCGTTGGTGCCTTGTATAAAATGATGTTGCATAAAAAGGTTATACTTCAAGATATGGAGGGTGTTGATGCTGAATTCTATAGATCTTTGAAATGGACTTTAGATAATGATATAGATGGTGTTTTAGATTTAACATTCAGTGCTGAAGATGAAAGATTTGGTGAACTAATAACTGTTGATTTGAAACCAAAAGGAAGAGACATTGAAGTTACGAATGAAAATAAGAAAGAATATGTTGAGTTGATTACAGAATGGAGAATTTACAAACGTGTCGAAGAACAATTTAAATCATTCATGGATGGTTTCAATGAATTGATACCTGAAGATCTAGTCAATGTTTTCGATGAAAGAGAACTTGAATTGCTAATTGGTGGTATTGCTGAAATTGATGTTGAAGACTGGAAGAAACATACCGATTATAGAGGTTATCAAGAAACCGATGAAGTTATTCAATGGTTCTGGAAGTGCATTACTGAATGGGATAATGAACAAAAAGCTAGATTGTTACAATTCACTACTGGTACATCAAGAATACCTGTCAATGGGTTTAAAGATTTGCAAGGTTCTGATGGTCCAAGAAGATTTACTATCGAAAAAGCTGGTGAATCTAATCAATTACCAAAGTCACATACTTGTTTCAACAGAGTTGATCTACCACCATATACCGATTATGAAGCTATGAAACAAAAATTAAGTCTAGCTGTTGAAGAAACTGTTGGTTTTGGTCAAGAATGATTACGTTTATTTGCATCTAAAATTTTAATGAGAAAAGATTTAAAAAAAAAGCTCACATCTTCAACATCATCATATTTTGTATTCAATATTATCACATTATTTTTATTATTATTATCATTTTTATTATCATCCATGTTAAAAGAAAAAAAGGAACAAAGAAATTTAGTTTTATTTGGTGTTTTCAACGTTTATTGTCATTTTTAATTTTTATCAAGTTTTTCGTTTTCAACTATTTTAGTAGTTGGATAATTATACAGCCATTCTTTTAGACATTTGTATGCCGTACTAGTACTAATCTAATCTTGCCTCCGCTAATGATCAATCTGCAATGGAGTATTTCTAAAGTACACCCACCTACACCATTCATATAAAGCTGTATCTAGCTTGTATACTGGTAAATAGGTACGGTTCGGGTCACAAATATTACGTAATCACGAGATAGTGAGAGTCAACAACGCCTTTTTAACTTCATCGGAAATCCGTGATAGTTTAGTGGCTAGAATCACCGTTTGTCGTTTGACAGTACATGGTAGACCGGGGTTCAATTCCCCGTCGCGGAGCACTTTTTTTTGCTTTCCAAAATTGGCGTTTTTGAGAGCTTAATCACTTGCTATGGTTTCTCTTTTTTTGTTATCTTTTGGCGTGGCTTTTGATAGTTTTGAAGCCAAATATTGAGTTGTATTGATACTTTTGGTTTTTTTTCGCTCCGAATGGATTCGCGAAAACATGATTGTAGATCAGTGATCAATGATCATTATTAAAGTGCCAATCGAATATAATCTCCAAGCCAAACAGTCTGACTTTCCAGCTAATTGAATTATATATACTCTACAATCAATAACACTTTCTAAAATTTTTTTCTTTCTTAATATACTATAATATGAACACAATGCAAACTCTAAAAGACGTTTCAAATATATAAACAGTGAAAACAATCCTTTAAATAGTTGTTAATATATAAAAAAATAACATAAATAGGCCGTCTCTTTGCAGTATTTTATGAGAATATGATCCAATTAATAATAAAATGTCATATTATGTGAAAAAAAAAAGGTAGTATATCCATAATTCTCAATAAAATAACAACAAAAAATAACCTTCCCCCAAATCATCAAATAGTTTATTTTTGAAAAGAAAAAAAGAATAACACTGTTTTGATCAGCATTAAATAAACATAAGTTTTAGTTAAACCAAAGGTAATAGTAGTAGATGTGAAAAATGACATGTCTCAATTTATAAATTTTTTTTTAAAAGTTTTTTTTTGTTTTGTTTTGATTTTTAGATCTCATTGAATATTTTAAATTTTTTGAAGAAAATATGTACTCCTTTCAACATTCCTTCATTTTAGATAATTTTCTTCTCTTTCAAGTTCTAATTTTTTGGTGGGGTGAATCTAATCTTTCTTGTTTTGATTGGAGCCCATTTGAATTTTTTAACATAGACGGAAATCAAGTATAAAGTAGATAAGACAATGACAGCTTTCAAACCTAATCTTTTACGTTCATCATGTTCTGGTTCAGCAGCCCAGTTTAAGAATGTTGTGACATCTTTAGCCATTTGTGAAGTTGTTGCTGGAGTACCATCTTCAAATTCAACAAGGTCATCAAATAAAACTCTACCCATAGCAATTGAACCACCTGGGAAGTATGGGTTATAGTTAGAACCTGGAGGTAAAACAACACCAGCTGGTGGGTCATCTGGATAACCAGTTAATAAGGCAAAGATATAATCACAAGCACCGTGTCTAGCTTTAACAATCAATGATAAATCTGGAGGTAAAGCACCTTGGTTGGCAGCTCTAGCAGCTTGTTCATTAGCATAAGGACCTGGGATATAATCAGCTAATTTACCTGGTCTCTTTCTTGGGTTACCTTGGTCATCAGGTTCATCATCATATTCGAATTCTTCAGCCATAGCTCTAACTTCAGAGTTTGAATGAGAGACACCAACTAAAGTTCTCCAAGCGACTCTGTCTAAAGAATGACAAGCGGCACAAACTTCACGATAAACTTGGTAACCTCTTCTAATTGAAGCATGGTCGAAAGTATCAAGCATACCACCATGGGACCAGTTGTAAGCTGGAGGATGTAAACCATGTTCAGCAGCGGTCATGGCATCAGCAGTGACTGAATCTTCATATAATAAGTAAGATGCAGTTAAACCTGAAGCAGCAACACCACCAGCAATGAATTTTTTAGCAAGACTGGTTGGCTCAGCAGCAGCTTGTTTAGCTGTGGTTGAGAAATTTTTCTAAAAAAAAGAAGTTAGTAATTATACTTGGATTAAAAATGGCTTCTGGTGTCTAATGTAGTGGTTGGGTACCCTTTTTTCGATTTGTTGTTGTTGATCTTTAGGCTAAAAAAAAGAATTGATAAATGATGACTTCCTCGAGATTTTGAATTGTGAAATAGCTCATTTTGAACTGAACAAATCATTCCTCAATATAATTATACCTTTTAAATTCTTCAATTATTTGTATTTTTGGATTGTAAACGTTCAATTTGGTTGATACCCAAAATACCGATTGGCTCAAGCCAACACACTAGACACCAAAAGCAATACTGCAGATTAAATGGGACATACGATGTTAGTTCTGACAGTGGATCTGATAGAAGAGAACATCTTGAACTATGTGATAAAAGTCTATTCTATTCAATGTTGAAAGGGAATATTTAAAGAGAGTTATTCGACTTTTTGTACAGATGTTGATGATTTTTATTGTATGAAAATTAAATTTTGTTTTATTGGATGAAAAGTGATTTTTTTTTTCAGACTGCGCTTCGAGAACTCCAAGGCAAAAAACAACAAACAAAGTGGTTTAAACCGGGTATTCTGCTATTCTAAGGCTCATATAACCATGTAGAGACATTCCAAATAGATGATTCTGACCATAGCACCCTTTCCAGGGATTCAATTGGAGCTAGTTCAGGTGTTATTCAATCAAGCACATGTCATTGGTGCGGCATAGGCGTTGCGACGGTGCGCGACACTTGTGCACGCTGATTTTAAATGGGAAATTGCAGTGCTCTGATTTGCTGGGGCTCCATTCGAGTCTGGGCAGACGCATTTGTACAGGGTGTTTTTCCAAGGGCTTCGCGAATGGATTTGGATTGTTTTGATTTGAAAACAGAATCAAGCGCGTTTACTATTGTTGTGTTCATCATCATCATCATCATCATAATGTCTTCTGAGTTTGACGTGAGATCATCGTTTGTCTCTGTGGTGGACCATCTTCCTTCAGATATCATAAGAAAGCTATGGTTGATACAGACTTTGAACTTGAATTACGAATCATTGAAACAAGAACTAGACCTATTGTTGAGACAGATCAAACAACATGATATACCCAAGGACACATATCTCCAGAAAGTATCCAAGATCAATCATATAGCAAATCAATTGACACGTACGAGGCTTGAGTCTTTGGAAGAGGCAAAATCAATTAGCTCAACAATCAAAATCACAAAGTTAAATCTTGAAAATCAATACAATCAACTTCAACAGGATCAAAAGATTTATGAACAAGAAATGGCAAACAATGGGAAAGGCAGTGCTGCCAAACATGCTGAAAGAACAAACAAGAGAACTACTACAAAGAATTCCAAGCCCAAAATCACACTGAAGCTGAATATAAGTAAGAAAAAGGATAAAGTTAAAGAGAAAGCTACGTCGTCACCAGCCATCAAAATTACTAAACGTAAAAGAGGTAGACCCCATAAACACAAAGTACCAGAAGAACAAATCGTTAATGAGGTAAATGATGAAGATAATGACAATCACTTGTACTGTATCTGTCGAAGAACTAGTTTTGGTGAAATGATTGGCTGTGATAATCCAAAATGTAAATATGAATGGTTCCACTACAGTTGCGTTGGATTAACAAGAGCTCCAAGAGGTAGATGGAACTGTCCTTTATGCAAAAATAGAAAAAAACACAAATGAATGGGATCAATCTTCCTTTTTTTCATCTTCATCTGACCAAATTGAATCTTCAAAGAAATATAACCAACTCAATCCACACCAACTTGCAATAACACCAATACCACAATAAACACTATAAATCATCAACCCAACAAATTCAAATTTGGCAAATAAGGCATATCTTTTTTTGAAAAGGCCAATGATGAAGACCATTAACACCATGGGTATTAAACTGAATAAATAGATCAATGAAATTCTATCAAAGAGGAAAATTCTTTTCTTGAAGGTTCTTTGCTTTGAAACTTCCATAAATGATAATGAATAAATAATGAACCAAATAAATGTGTACAATTGTTTAATTAAATTTTGGTTTGGTAATAATGGGAATAAACTAACATAACCTGCACCTGCTAATACTAAAAATGAATTCAATAATCTTCTTTCATTAATCAAAAATGTAAAAGGGATAATAATTAACATTATTGCCTTTTCATGAACGTGCCATCCAAATAAAAATGAAGCATATGCATTAAGAGTTAATGCACCAATCAATCTTTTGAAATTTGGTTGTAATAATAATGGTAATAAGGACAAGATATCATAGAATAATGTCAATAAAAATGTAACCCTTGGTGTTATATTTGGCAAAATAATGAAAAAAACATCTTGAACTAAACCTCTTGTACCAGTATTAGCTGTACTTGCAATTTGAGCATCAATAACTGCAATGGAAGGAGTTCCAATAGCTTTAGCTAAAACATTATTAAAATATGGTCTTTTCAAAACAACAACCAAGATTTTATCCAAAAATGAATAAATAGCCCAGATATTTGGCGCCCAGTATGCATGTGTTAATCCTCTAGAAAATGGGAATAATCTTGCCAATAAGTTTGGAATGACTCCATAATAAACAAATGGAGCAAATGCAACACCAAATATAAACAAGACGATAGAACCTAATTTGATCAATTTGTCCCATTTGATGAATTTTATTATACTCTTTTGACTAACATCTAAAACAACTTTTCTCAACAAAAATACAAATACAGCTGGTGCTAAATATAAGAATATATGCTTGAAACAAAGCAATGTAGCAAATAATGCACCCAACAGATAATAACGTTCATGAGCAGCAGCGACAATGACACCAATCAAAAGACCAAACATCATCCCATTATATTGGAAATGAATATGATCAACAATTAATAATCCAGGTGATAAAACAAGCGAGCTTGCAATAATGAAACTTAGAATCTTATCTTTACTGAAGTTGATATAAGTTTGCAAGATTGCAAATAATAAAATTTCAGATATTATCACAGTACTTCTTTGGAAAACAACAGTAGGCCAACCATATGCCCCCTTTTCCACAATATCCAAACATCCGTCATCTTTGACTATTTGTGGAACAAACTGTGATAAAAACCATTCAAAATATGCAAAAAATGGGGGATAATCTAACGTCCATTGACTTGTTTTCTCTAAATACCAATCTTTCAAAGGTAATTTATTTGTTATTGCCAACCAATTTCTATGAACATCAAAATCTGTAGAGTGATAAGTATCAAATAACAAGACTTTCAGTATGGTAGCTGCTACCCATATGTTCCATAATGAGAAATTTCTCTTATATTTCAATGGTGTTTTGGATTCTGGCTTTGAATGAATTGCATCACTAGCTTCATTTAAACTTTTCGACTTCCCCTTCTCCTTGCGATTCTTCAAAGTTGACATTGTGGAAATTAATAGAGCAAACCACCAGTTGAGCAATCACACAAGAGATCAATAGACCAATTGGAAGGACAAACAGAGTTTGTTTACTTGTTTGTTTAATGGTGATGAATCTTTGAAATGTTCAAAATTTACCCTCTACGATCGAGCTAATTCGCGACGTAAGCCGGTTTGCGCACGCAAAACGCCAGCACACCCATTCGCGAAAATATTGTGATGATTTGAGGAAGCAGTAAGAGCTCTCCCTTAATCGTTGTTGATAAGGCAAGAGTAATCATCAAGACAGATCCAGAAAACGATCATCGGGTTTAGTCTGTCAATTGATCAAGAAGAGTTAAAACATGATGGCTGATGATGGTTTGGAAGCTTCGCACTGGGATGACGTGGTGTCGTCTAACCCTTCAAGATTTGCAGAATCTAATATAGTCAATGAATTATCAAGCACACTTTCACATCAAACTTTAGAAAACGATGAAGACAAAGAAGAAGAAGGAAAAGAATGGAATGAAGATGATTCAAAACCAACAGCTGATGAAACACTCGAAACTGAAGTTACTAAGATTGATGAGAACGATAAGTCCAACGAAGGGATCAATGAGGAAGAAGGCGTTAAAACTCAACACCGTCAACCAGATACAAGTGGCCTTTTATCCTCATTAACTGTGGATGCTGATAAAGGCGTCATATCAGAAAGTTTCAAATCACCAAAGAAGGACGAATCATTGTTCAGAGATACAAACAAAGGGTTGAATTTCGGGAGTGACGATGAAGAGGAAACACAAGCAAAATCTCCACAACAAAACATAACATCACCAACTAAACTTGCAAGTCGTCGAAAGAATGTTTACAAAGCACCAAGGTTTCGTCGTAATGGATTGAAACAACCACAACAATTAGCATCAGCATCATCATCAAATAACGGATCTAATGATATTTTACAAAGTGATAACCAAGAAGTTCTTGGTCCATTAGGAATAAATGACGATTCGGAAGCAAAAGATGAAGGATTAGAATCTCCTGCTGATAAGCTTTTGAAAGCTGCTGATGCTCCACTATTTGACATAAACAGAACACCTTTATCACCATTAAAATCCAATAATAGACCCGGATCTTACCAAGCCTCATCTACAGCTGCAACAGAAACTTCTACGGCAGAGTCAAGCGAACCACAAGATCCCCAGCAACAATTAGAACAATCCAAAATACACCAAAAGCAAAAGCAAGAGAAAGAACCTGCTGTCAAATTAGATATTTCAGTTGGAGATCCAATCAAAGTTGGTGATTTAACTTCTGCTCATATTGTCTATAGCGTTCGCACAAATACTGACTCAGAACTATTGAGGTCACCACAAACAGTTGTTTCAAGAAGATATAGAGATTTCAGGTGGTTATATCGTCAACTACAGTCAACTCATCCAGGTAGAATTATTCCACCACCACCAGATAAACAAGCTGTTGGCAGATTCAATGATGATTTTATAGAAGCAAGAAGATTTGCATTGGAAAGAATGCTGGTCAAAATTTCAAAGAGTCCAGTTTTGCAAACCGATCCCGATTTTATAATGTTTCTACAAAGTGAAAGATTTTCATCAGAAGCAAGGGAACGCGAAAAAGCTGCTGGTGCTACATCAACTTTCACAGCTAGTGAAAAAGATAATGATGCAAGTTTGAATGCTAGTGGAGGATTCTTAAGCTCTATTGGTGGAGCATTTTCATTTTCTCCAAAGATTGTGGAACCTGATGAGTTTTTCAAAGACAAGAAATCTTATGTTGAAGCCTTAGATCAACAGTTTAAGCTTTTTTTGAAAAATTTGGAAACAATTGTTATTCAAAGACATGACTTATCTATTGTGACTGAAGAATTTGCAAATATAGTTGCAACCTTAGCTGATTTGGAAGTTTCCAAGAGCTCTACTGAATTATTCCAGGAATTTTCCACAACACAATTGAGAATCAAAGAATTATTGGATAGACTTTCCTTGCAGGATATGCTAACTTTAGGGTCCACACTAGATGAGTATCAAAGAGTTATTGGAAGTATCAAGACAACTTTTCATCAAAGAGATAAGATTTTGGTTCAATTGGCTGGTTCAGAATCGGAATTAAAAAAGAAACAAGCGTCTTTTGATAAGACTTTTAAGTACAATAGAACTCATACTGAAAAAATTGATGCTTTAAAATTGGAGCTTGATGCACTTGAACAAAAGCATAATGGTATTAGATCCAAATTTGATGACATTAGCAGCACAATTAAAGATGAATTGGCAACTTTTGAAATTGAAAAAATTCAAGATTTTAGAAACTCGATTGAGATATTTTTGGAAAGTACTATTGAGAGCCAAAAAGAGGCTGTTGAACTTTGGGAAACCTTTTACGATGTCAATTTATCTTCAGTAGCATAAATAAACATGCTTAAACTGATATGTTTTATTAAATGTACATATTTACAAATATTGTAGTGACCACCAAAACCACCTTCGTTCATTCATCCTCTAATGCGTCATCGTCATCATCATTGATTTCATTCTCAAATATCTTTTTCATTTCTTCAATCACTTTCACTTGTTCACTAATTTGGTCATACTTGACAATCATACCATCAAATGCATAACAGTAATCTGATTGAACCACAATATTGTTTGAAATTTCAGGAAATTTGGGGTATCTTTGACTGAAATGTGTTAGGATTAGCTTCTTAGCCTTCATATTATTTGAAACGTCAATTGCTTCATTGATTGTACAATGTCTTTTCAATTTCGCTTCTTCTTCTTTACTATTCTCCAATGTAGCTTCATGAATCAACAAATCACTTGCTTTACCAATTCCATTTGAAAAAGAATACAAGTTAGGTCTTGTGTCACCCGAATAAGAAACCTTGAAAGTATTTGGTCCTTCAATGTCACCATGTTGGGAAGTTTTGAAAGTTATAGAACATGAATATGCCCAAGCACAATGTATAGCTCGACATGTAGCAAGTTTCTTGATGCCCACACCCCGGTAAAGTGAAAGTATAGCATTGATATCTCTTTTTGGAGACTTAGTAGCTGAAACAAAGTCCATCTCTGTACCAATTTCGAAGTCTTCGAAGTCAATTTGTTCAACTTCGTTTCTCTCTTTCCCAACCAAAAAGTTTTCACAGCTAATGTAAGTGATTCGATCCAAAATAGATTTATCACCTTCGACATTGAACCATTCATTAACAAAATGACTGTATTGCCATGGAGTCACCAAGTAAAGTGGCTGATCATTGTTATGGTTGAACTTGTACCACTCCTTGAGGATAGAAATAATACCAAGATGATGATCCGCATGTAAATGACTTAGGTAAACCAGTTTGAGCTCTTTGAAATAAAACTCAAGGTTTTCAGGACCCAATGTTCTCTTTATTGTTCCCAATGTATTTTCACCAGCATCAAGTAATACAGATCTATACCCAACTCCTTCCTCACTTTCATATGGAATTCTAACCAAAGATGAACTCACATTACGATATTTTGATGGTAATGCACTCCCAGTACCCAAAGTTATAGTTTCGACCTGATCAATTAGTGGTAAGCCTGCTTTGATCGACTTACTGGAAACTGATGATTCATCCAGTATCTGATCTCTTTTATGCTTCAAATCTAAATTCAAAGGAACAACTTCATTTTCAAGTAAGCTGTTCCAATCAAAAGCACCGGATTCTCCAGATTCTGTAATGTTAATTTGATTAGGGATGCCTTTGGTTGTTGAGACTATTTCAAAAGATTGCCCTTTTAAACATAGCTTGATATTTTCACTGATATTCTCTGGCAAAAGGCTTTGGGCTTCTGATGACGACTGAATGTTGAACTGATTTATCAGCAAGCATTTCAACTTCAAAGTCATTAAGGCAGATCCTTCAAACACTATAGAATCTGGACAGTAACGAGGATGTGAAATATGATGACGACAATCAGGACCAAACGATTCAATGAATTTCATATAAGATTCTGAAAAAGGTTCGACTTCATCCGCTAAGAAGTGGAAAATTAAACCAACATTATCACCCCAATTTGTTTCATATGCACTTTGAAGAAATTCATTAGAGGGTATATCAATGACAAGAACTTTTTGAAATATTCTAGATTCTGAAAGAACATCAGCTGGCTTAACGATTCTACCGTCTTCAAGCTCAACCTCTTTCCCTGATGCTAAAAGACCATAGAATCTTTTATTTGTAATGTTTAACTGTTTTGCTTTTTCAACTTGAAATTTACCTCTTGTGGGATCGAATTGAATTTCATAACAAGTGGAAATTTTATTCTTTGTGACATCTGGTAATTTGATATGAACATATTTTCTTGAAGAATTAACATCATCTTGTTGTTGTTTCTTTTGTCCAACTTTTTCAGCATCCATTCCCTGTGATCTTTCAACTGGCGCAGAAGTTGGGAACATATTTTGAACCAATCTTTTCAATTTTTGTTGAGACTGCTCATCAAAAGTTCCTGTATTAGAGCTTCCCTTTAAATTAATAGTTTTGACATTTATGGCCTCTTCTTTGAGAGATTCACCAGTTTTTTGGATTTTTGTTGTTATATTCATTCCAAATCTGAAAACAAAGTTTCTCCATGATGATATGGCATAGTCCAATATCCCACTCCCATTAACAATATTCAAATATTTAGAGCCTTGATCACTTATTGTTAAAATTAAACCAGCCAAACCACCCACTCTTTCCCAGTTCAAATCACCAGTTAGAAAGATGGTTGATAATTTTGAAACTTTCAATTTTTGTTGATTGAGCGCCCTTTGTGAACCTTCAGGAATACTACCAAATAAATACCTTTTATTATCCGTTATAAGTAGCAAAGACGGCTGTCTGGTATCTGATGTTGGGTGCGTGATAACTTTAAACTGATACATGCCTGGTGCTTTCTCCTCTCTAAGTCCTCCTCTTATAGCTGTTGAATGTTTAGATATTCCAGATTTGAACCTTACCTGGTATTTGATGTTTATAACTAGCTTTTTTCTTGAGATCAAGGATGGTTCTCTAAAAGGAGAACTTGCAAAGACCTGGAGATGTCTTGAATAGGAACCCAATATGATGACTTATTTTGATCGGAACCTTCTATACGCCCTTCTTTGCTCAAGTTGAATAGCAAAATTTCAAAGTTAAGCAATACAGTATGGTGTGCCTTCGAAGGATTAATAAGGATTTCAGTTGACTACCCCTTTGTTATATTAGATCAACATGATTGAATAGTACTTGTAGGCCTGAAACTTTTCAAGATTTTTTTTTCGGTTTATCGATGAGCTGTCATATTGTTACGTGTAAGTAACATATTCTCTACAAAAATTCTTTTCAACAAACATTTTAAACCGTTATTATTATGCTCTTAAATGAGCTGATGCATTTTTGTATAAGCTCTGCCAAATAAAGGCTTCACTCAAAAGAAGTTCTATATCTTTTTCCGTCCATCCTTTTGTAGGTGGGTTTTGCAAAAACATCATAATTTCTTGAAATTCCATTGTCTTCAATTCATCACTCCATTTCACCAAAAATGCAGCACATACATAAACATGAAACTCACTAAACCCATTGGTTTCACTAAGGTAAGTATCCCACATACGTATAGTGTTTTTGACCGAAACTTCTCTCATTAGTAAACAATTCATCCATCTAAATGAGAATTGAATAAATTCTATATTTTCCGCTTCCAAGTGATAGTATAAAGATGAGTCAATCCTGTTGATCAGATCCTTTAATGCACTAACTTGTCTTATGATACCTGGTTGAGCATGGATATAGTTATCTTGAATACCATCCAACAATTTTGTTAAACACCAAAAGGTATCAGCCTCTACAGCGTCTAGAACATGTTTTGGCAAGATTTTTGGATCAAATAATTCCACATCAACATCTTCTTCAATATATGAGCTCAAGAAAGTTTGAAATAGTGGTGTAGCAAGATCGTTTATACCTTGAACATAACCAGATGCAGGGTGCCTCACTGCCCATAGATACAAAATTCTTTCTAAAGCTCTTTGTGTGGATTCAAAGCTGTAAAGCTTGATATGTGGATTGGTTCTTGGGATATCAATTTCTATTTGATGCCATGTTGCAGGTTCTTTATTGTCATTGAAAACTTGATCGATACCTTCAAGATACTCTTGTCTTTTCTTTGCAAGTTGAGTGACTCTTCTGTCTGAATTTGTTGGGAGATACCCTAGTAGCAGTTGCCAACTGATTGGTCTTAGCTCTGTGGGTATACCATTCCATGCCATTTTTTTCAACGCAGCCAAATCAACATTAGGTTCTTGTATAAGTTTTTTGAATCTGTTGAATCTTGATATAATGGCGTTCAACTCTTCAATTTCTTTGACTGATTGATCCTCTTTTGTAATTTTTGGTCCATAAAGTGTATAAAGTGAGTTTGCTGGGTCTTTCATAATGCCATCAACATGGTTCTTTACACCCGATGAACTTTTTTTGTGATGATGCTTTCCTAAAACTGGATACTCAAATGATTTTGAAAGATTATTTTCAAAGAATTTTGGTTGGGAATCTACTGATGATAAACCTTGGTCAACATCAGCATCCCAATCATCATCAAGATCGGTGTATTGATCAGAATGTCTTGGTGTGGAAGATGGAGATTCCAGTTTGAAGGAATTTCTACCGACAAGTTTTGGTTTTGGCTTAGTTGGTTTTGAAGAGCTGTTAGTGCTGGGAAGGTTGACGGATGACGATGATGATGATTTCTCATTTAAACCTAGATGGGAAAAGGATGCACCAACAACTTTCATATCATCAGCAATTACAGACTTTTTGTTTCTGTCTTTCTCTTTGAATGCCGATGATAATGATCTCAAAAATGAATGTGGTGAATGACTTGGGTTACCACGACCTCCTCCATCATCGAAAACAAATTCGTTTTGATCTATATGTTATTGTTAGTTTTGCTCGAATGTTAAACTCCTTGCATATGGAATAACCAACTTACAAACCTGAACCATTTCCTAAATTGTCAGTAAAAGAGACTAAAAAACCAACAATCCGAGAAGAACATATACTCACTGGTTGACTATGATTCTGTTTTGGTATGCCCATGGTTGTTGATATTTGGGAATTCGAACAACAATACCAAAGATGCTATGTGTCCAAACTTGAGATCTTGCAATTTCAGGGAGACAAACTCTCAAAATGCTTCCAATGTTGCACTCAAAACTGACACAGTATGAATTGGAGGGAAAACAACTCAATAGGACACGATATTGATGCCTTTTTGGTCGGTGAAGTTGTTTGAAAGTGAAGATGAGAGAGTGTGTTTCGTTTAAAAGAGCACTTGTAAACATTTGATCCACAGCATATTTCTCATGGAAAAGTAATTTAAGATGTTTCGGGAAATAATCTGTTTCGGGAATGGTTAGGAAGCACTCGGGATAGTTTGGCTACTGGTCTTTACAAAGCTTTTAGAAATCAGTAAGAAAATGGATACAAAGAAGGCCTGTTGAGTAGATTTAATAAACCATCTACACAATAAACCCTCTCGTTTTCTAGACCTCTTCCCTGGTTTTGCCAACTCGTGGCCAAATGCTGTCAAAAAACATTTTCCATGTAATTTTGCTGGCCCTACCGCAATCACATTTTCGAGTCAAAAAGATTAATAAATGCATTAATTACACAAGCAAAACATGTACTTAAATGAAGATGAATCTCGTTAAAACTCTTTTCTTTGAAGTCTCTGCTAGCTAAGTGTTTCAACAGCATTTCATTGCATACCCTTTTTCCTTGAGAAAGCTCATATCATAATATTTTATAATGTCAGATTCAACATCTAAACCAGCTGGTCGTACTATTCTAGCTTCAAATATTGCCAAAGGTTTCATCTCAGAAGTTGAAGAAGGTGTCAAACAATTGGGGAGATCTCCAAAACTTGTCGGATTTTTAGCTAATGATGATCCTGCTGCTCAAATGTATGCTGACTGGACTGGTAAAACCTCCAAATCTCTTGGGTTTGATTATGAATTGAGAGTTGTTAACAAGGATGATTTAGAAGAAGCCATCATTGACGCCAATGGAGATGATAAAGTTGACGGTATAATGGTTTACTTTCCAGTATTTGGTAACAGACAAGATCAATACTTACAACAAGTTGTTTCTTTGGAAAAAGATGTTGAAGGTTTGAACCATAAATATATTCAAAACATGTACCATAATGTTAGATTCCTAGATGCAGAGGAGAAACAAAAATCCGTTCTTCCTTGTACCCCATTAGCTGTTGTCAAAATTTTGGAATATTTGGGTGTATACAATAACCTTTTGGCATATGGTAATAGATTATATGGTAAACAAGTTGTTGTTGTTAATAGATCAGAAATTGTTGGTCGTCCTTTAGCTGCATTATTGGCCAATGATGGTGCTACTGTATATTCTGTTGATTTGGATGGTATTCAAAGATTCACTAGAGGTGAAGGTTTGAAATTGAGCAGACACCAAGTCGTTGATGTTGACCTATCTTTAGAAGAAGTTGCCAAAAATGCAGATGTCATTATCACTGGTGTTCCATCTCCAAACTATAAATTCCCTAATGAGTTTGTTAAAGACGGTGCTATTGCTGTCAACTTTTCAAGTGAAAAGAATTTTAACCCAGATGTAAAAGAAAAAGCCAGTCTTTATGTTCCAATGATTGGTAAAGTTACTATCGCAATGCTTTTAAGAAACTTGTTGAGATTGGTTAACAACAAAAAATAATTTATTATTCGCTCATATATTTCATTTCGTGTGTTTTTGGTTTTTTTTTCTAATAATGATTGGTTTGTCGTTTTATTTGGATAGAGTTTAAGTTAAGTATTTATATCAGTATTTTAGTCAATGTAGAAAATGCAAATTAACTTTCCAGATTTTATCAATACTATACAATGTTTTATTTTCTTTTCCAACCTTAGATCTTGGCCTTTTTAGCACTTGGTTCATCATCATAGACTGGATCATCGAAATCTTCGTCTACTTGATCATATCTCTTCTTCAAACCCTTCATCTTTCTAGTTTGTAGTTTTCCTAAATCTTGTTTACCGACATGGATTCTACCAAGTTTATCACCCATAGAATCAGTTTCAACATTCTTTTTAACTTTTGCTTCCAATTCTTTTGGTTTTTTCAAAGCTTCCTTCTCCATATCTGGTGATGGATGTTCATATCTACCAACAGCGAAATCTAATCTTGGTCCAATTTCACTCAATTCAACTCTTGGAATCTTTTGACTACTCTTGAAAGTTTTCAATAGGTAAACTCTGAAATTCACTTGTGGTAAAGGTTCACCTTCTTGGAAATCAGCAGCTGTAATTGAAATAATATGTTGCAAACCAGCAACATCTTGTAGATCCGTTACTTGGCCTCTGAAAAAATCTAAAAATAATGACTTGATATGTTTATAAACTGGATGTGAATCGAAAACTGCACCATTAAATGTGAACATTGGTTTTAAACCAATAGCAAAAGTGGTTTTTCTAAAATCTGATAATAGTTTATACTTATCTGATATTAGCAATTCAATCATATCGTACACTTTGTAACCAAAAGTTCTGATAAAAGTTAAATTATTCTTTCTTTTTTTACTTGAACTTGAATAGACTAATAACGAGGTATCATTTTTTTCAGAAAAAAATTCAAATTTTGAAGAGTCTTCAAAGGGTCTACCATCATTCTTTTTATTGAATCTTTTGGCATCTGGTTTCTTAAGAGCACTTAAGTCAACCATAGTATCATGTAACACTTTATTACTGGTGGATCCTGGAACAAAAAGGGCCTGTTTTGTATTCTCAACCAATTTTGCTTCTTTGTTCTTTAAAGCTCTTTTGGAACGAGCATTTTTTGGTTTACTGGTCCATAGTTAGTGCTGTGAGTTTCTGGTGTATTTAATATGTAACTTACACTGTTCTAATCATCTTTGAAGATCTATTTTATTGTTACAAATGCTAGTAAATGAATTTTATGCTCTTCTACAGTATCAAAAAAATTTGTATTTTTTTTTCTTGCATGAGATGAGCCCCAGAACCGAGGGGAAATCAATTACGAGGGCTAAAATTGTTCAATTAAGTCCAAGATGTGATTTACCTAAAGTCACAATCTTTAAGTGATTAATTTAGTGAAATATCCAAGTATTATCTAATTCAAAAATTTGCTTTTCCTCTCCGACAAGAGCTATACCACTGTAGTAACAAGACATTTTCAAAAACCCAGCGCATTACCCTGTGTTGATCTTGATCCAAATCTTTTTCGCGAAAATTGCTAGAAATTTTGATCAGGAAAGCTGTGGTGAATTCGAAAGGTAAACAACAAATTATTCAACATCGTTTCAGTCACCACAACACATTGAGAGTGATGGCACAAAAGATTAGTTTTGGTGCCAGGAAAGTAACGAGCCCTGATGTGAGCCCGAGGGGCTCGCAGATTGACTTTGGCAAGCAGTCAAATTCTGATGATTCAAGAGCCCAACTTCAACACCAATTTACCAATGCCGCTACAGAATTAACCAGAAGTTCGAAATATGTTGTTTCAAAACTTGCTGCTTCTCCAACTGCATTGTTTGGCTCAAACTCATTCGAGCTACAAGGTTCAATTGATGATCGTACTGGTCATGGTCTTTTGATTTCAGATGAACTGATATATACTTGGAACTATAATTCACCTGATAGCATCCCAAACACCATTCAAATTCCTGTTGTTCCATCAAATAATGGATTCCCACCGTTAGTCATTCTTGTATTACCGAGTGCTGGTAGTAAAGAACCCGGTGTTGTCTCTGTGAATTCACACACTGGTCATATCAGATTTTATGAGAATGTTGGTGAAGCCTCATCTTTTGGACTATTACAACACTTCAAGGGAATCGATCATCAAATTTCATTATACGACCGTGAAACGATTGAAATAGCTGAAAATGTTGAACCTGCTGGTGTTTTACTTACAACCTCCACTGGGAGAGTCATTCTATTGTCATTAAGAAACTCGGCTGGTAAACCATTTATTTCATCATCTCAGATAGTTCATAGACAAACTGGTTTCTTCAGCACTACACTAAGTCCTTCCAGACATATCGTTTCAGTCAAGGCAGGAGCAATTTTGGGTCAAGGTGAACGTATAATAACAACAGTAACAAGAGGTGGTGACTTCCAAGTTTGGTCATGCGCAAGAGATGGTCAATCAAGACAAGTTTTTCAAAAAGAGTTATTACCAACCCTTGTTGACCATGTCGGTGAGCTATATCCTAGTGCAACACGCGAATTGGAGATTTTAGATATGTGTTTCCTTCCAAATTTCGAGAATCAAGACGCATTTTTGGTATTGTCAAGCTTTCCAAATGGTCCAAATGAAACATTCTACTTATTGTTTACTATTAGAAAGGAAGAGGATCAATTGTTGATTGTTTCAGCTTACAAATTGAATACCTACACTACCCCATACTCAGATAAACCAAAATTATATGTTCCAGCTCCAGGAACGACAGGATTTATTGTTTTTGATAACTCAGTTGTTTTATCAGAGCTAGTTAGCAAACTTGACCATACATCTAGTTTAAAGAAAAAATGGGAAGACATCATCACATTTAGATCAAATATCAGATTTATAGGGTCTGGTGCTGAAGATCAAACCACAAATAATGGTGTGATCTCCCGTCTTGCTTCCTTGTATTTGATTGCAGGGCAAACTGGTGTTTTGAGGGTTGATCATTTAAATACACTAGAAGGTGAAATAGCGGAAGATTCAATTGTTACTGGTTCATTTTTAAAATCACATATCGAGCAAGCAATCTTTTATGGAGAAGATTCTGAGAACCCAATCAAATTTGACCTTTCAGATGATATCAATATAGATTCAAAGGAAGTTGAAACAGATTTGTTACAAGTTGCTGAAGAGCTTTTAAATTCAACATCTGCTTATTTGCCACCAAGATTATCTTCATTACAAGCTCATTTAGAATTGAGAAAGGCAAAACTAGAGAAGCTTTTGAAGTATACTGCAGCTAATTTCATCAATGTCATCAGCGATGATGTCAAGTTCAACCTCATAAGTGCACTTGAAAGAATTTCAGCAGCATCTAGGTTCCATCAGCTTATTTCCACAAACCAAGCTAATGACACATTCATAGGTATTGTCAATAAATCACTCTCAAAACTTTACGGATCATCAAAGAGCTTTGATGAATTATTTGTTAATGGCCTTTTCCATCTAAATGCGGTCGCTGTTGGTGTCCTTGAACAAATTTCCAAAGGTTCAAAATTGGAAGAGGTTGGCAGTGATGTGATTATTGCTATTTACTTTAGTGTTTTAGAAATTGAAAAAGAATACAGATACGACCTATTCAAACTTGATAATGACAAAGTTGGTAAAGATCAACCGTGGTATACAACCCATTCTGCACAAACTCATATTGATGATGTTTTTGTCAAGTATACAACATTATGTCGTGGACTAGCTGCAGATGATAGAACTACAAAGAAGTTGGTAACCATAACTGAAATACTATTTTATCAATTTCAACAAAAACTTACGTGGTTAGAAGCGCAAACACCAAAAACAAGAGATATTCAAGATTCCATCAACAAAGATCAAAGTTCATATAAGTCAAGATCAGGTGTTTGGACGAAGAGTCTGATTTTATTTGGTGCCAAAACTGAAGCATTGGCTATTGCCGAAACTTACAGAGACTTGAAGTCACTTGTGGAAATTTCTGACGAAGATAGAGAAAATTCCGAAGGTGAAGAACTTGAACGCGTGCTGATGAGATTTGATAATTATTTCCACACTTTTGGATATGAATTTGCAGAAACATTGTACAACTATTACATTTCTTCTGGAAAATTCCAAGTTTTGCTTCTAGCATTTCAACAATACAAGGAATTTTTACAAAGGTTTTTCGCAGAAAATGATCATGGAAAGATATCTTGGATCAGAGATATTTTGGACGGACATTATTCAAAGGCATCTCAAGTTTTATTCGGTGTTACTCAAAAGCAAGATGGATTACAATCAAACAGACATTTGCAATTGAGCGTTGCAAAATTGGGAGCTTTAGCTGCTCTAGAGAACGATCCTGTCCACACAAACACCACCTTACTTGATGATATCCAACAACAGTTGGACTATGTCGAGGTTCAAGATTTGGCGCATTTTCAAATCTCAGATTTTATTAGGTCAGACGGTGATCCTGCTGCTCAAGTTGATGCAATTGTTCAAGAAACATTTTCTCAGTACCATTCCAAGCAGAATTTCCCATTACTTAAAAACACATTTGAAAGAGCTCTCTCCAGACTATTGTCTAACAAATCATTATCTGTGAATGAGCTAATTGATACTTTCACCTTTTTGAAACCACGTGAAAATAATAGGTTTAATCATTTCTATGCATTGAAATTACTACATTTATCAAATCTTTCAGTTGATCAGAAAGAATTAAATGAAAGACTGATATGGAGAAGAGCAATCTTGAGTGACGATTGGGATCAAATTTTAGCAGCCACAAACAAGACTGATGATTATATTAAGGAGCGTGCCGAGGAAACAGTGCTATTCACAACTTTGGTTAAGTTTTTTGAAGATAAGTTATACACATTGAATAATGGTTACCAAATATCATTACCTGACGTTCAGAGGTTGATCGGTAACTTTGATGATAGTGCTTTGTTAACAAGGTTCAAATTTATTGGCTCGCATGATCTACCAAAGTTGAAGAAAGAATTGTCTGCTGAAAATGAACGTCTTCAAGACTTTGCAAGCAGTGATTCGTTTGATAAATGGATCAAAGCACTAATTGGTACTGCAAATGAAAGAAGTGGTGCATCAAAGGTTATCAATTATAACACTTTAAAAATTGAAAATAACGAATAGTTAGATTTTATAAGAGCATTCAAAAAATATATTGTACATTATAACATAGACTTCGTAAACAGACTTTCCAACACCAGCCTTCAATTATCTTCATCAATTCTCAATCTTACCAAAGTTTCAGGGAGTGGGGGATCATCCTTGTTTTCATAATCACCTTCAGTGTAGTTTTGAAGACTCACTTGTAACGTGTTAGTTTAGTTCACTGAAAAATAGTAGCACAAAACTTACTGGATGCTAATGAGGCAGACTTTATTATATTGTTCCAATTCGAAAGCACTATAGCGACCGCTGAATGAGAGTTAGTTTAAACTCCAATAAAGCATTTGGTTGTGTACTTACATTCACTACCTTCTGAAAGTGTATCAAGTTTAGCTTCGAGTTGTTCAAGCTGAGTGGCCAAGTTCTCTGAGAGTTGTTTAATCTGGTTCAAGGAGTCAAGTTCTTTTCTCTTTTCCGATATCCTTTGCTGAAGAGACATTTTGTGTTGGATTATTGAAGTTGAGGGACATCAGATAACATATAAGAGTTGAAGTTGTACTTTGTTTTGATTTTTTTCAAATCTATTTTCGCGAAGACGCGTAACGGTCAAGTATAGCCATAGTTAACAACTACACGCAAAAGAAAAAACTAAAGCCTCATAAACCCGTCATTATATTTAATTATTAATTGTTACGTCGTATGTATATCTATGCAAATTGTATAGCTTCCACTATTATGTAATGTTCTTTGTTCCCTCTAGTAATGTTTGTGCTCTTGTAAGTAGTTTTGTATCTTCTTGATCCATGTTTCTTGATCTGCTTGATGTAGTTGTGCTTGTTCTTCTTTCATTGGTCACTCCTTTCAATTTTCTCAATAAGTTGTCGACAACATCTTCCTCTTGTTTACCATCCACATCTGATTCACCATCAGTTGTTACAGAGCCCCTTGATTCCTCTCTCGCTTTTTTATTCATTAACATCATGGCTTTTCTCTTTTCATAAATCTTAATCTTTTGCTCTTCCTCATGGTTCTGTTTTTGAACTCTTTTAAAATCATTCATAAACTCTTGAAACTTTTGGAAAAATGATGCTTTAGAACCAGCATCTGATGGGTTCTCACCAAAATATTTCATCAGTTTCTCAAAATCACTAATAACAAACTTCTGTTGATCTTCTAAAAGTTGGTACTTTCTCTTTGCTTCAGGCAATCTTGGTAAAACTTTTGTCACAATTCTATCATCAGGATGTAACTTCTTTGGGTCACTTAAATTACCAGATTCAACGGATCTTTCCACGCTTTTGATTGTCTTAATATAAGCATCAATATCAACTGATAATTGCTCAACAGATATTTTTGATGAATCTTGAAGTGATGATAGTTCCTCCATGAATTTGAGATATTCTGGATATGCTCTGCGGATTACCTTTTCAAGATATTGTAGGAAAGTATTTTGATTTTGATCCTTGATAAAGTTCAATTTTTGTAACGATGCTAACTTGAAACCTTCAACGGGTTTATTATTCATAAAGTTACCAATCTCTCTAATTAAGATAAAAATATTCTTCAAGTTTTTGGAGTTCTTCACAGATTTCACAGCATCATCAAGTGTTTGTATTCTCTTTGATAAATCATAATAATCCTTTTCATAAGTTTTAATCATCAATAAAGCTCTAGATCTTGATCTCCAATAAAATCTTAAGTTGTAACAAAGCTCCAAGAATATACGATCAGATCTTTCCAAAACAGTGACATCCTTTTCAGGTTTTGATCCAGTAACAAAATCAGTAGAGTAAGGTTTAAAGTTTCTAAGCAATCCATTACCAATTTCATTCAGTTCATCCTTATTGAAAAATTCCAAAACACTAATATTATTCAAAACATCATAATCACATTTAATAACTTTGGAAATCAATTGTTCTTCAGTGAAATTTGAAAACATATGAAGATTAATACCGAATTGTTGTGATAAATCCCTTGGAAGGAAAGTGATTTTATCAGTTTTAGCAGTTGCACTTGATGGTGATACTTTCTTTTTGGTTTCCTTTATAGTGAATAAATCCTCAACTTCTTTCAAAATACCCAATTCCATCAATTCATCAGTTCTTGAATGAGTCGATTCACCCCATAACGTTTGATCAACTTTATCAATTTTCTCCCAATGTAATTGTTTCAATTTTTTGGAAGGTCTGTGTAGTGATTTTGAAATCTCATCAATCTTCTTTTGTGTTAATATATTTGACAATGGTTTGAATGCGGCCTTCTTTGATTCAGGGTTTGATTTCAAAGAAAGCATAGTTGGTAAAGGTGGTGGTGGCCCGTCCTTGGAGTCAGATTTAGCAGCACCAGGCAGTGGTGGAGCTGGAGGTGGTGGAGGTGGAAGAGCAGCTGGAGCAGAATTTGAAGCTTTGGGTTTGACCAGGAAATCAGGAAGTGAAGGTGGTGGAGGTGGAGGTGGAACGCTTGAACTTTGTGCTGTTGATGAGAGTGATGGAGGTAGTGGTGGGGCTTTAGGAATTGATAGTTCTGGTGCAGACTTATTAGCTCTTTGTTGAAAGAAGTCTGGTAAAGCTGGGGGAGGTGGTGGTAGTGAAACTTCTGAGCCTGTACTTGGTATTCCTGGCTTCAACGACCCCAATAATGGTATTGATGACACATTTGATGAGGAAATTGTGTTTGAAGATGATGCAAGTGAAGCTGAAGACTTTAAAAATTCTGGCAAAGCAGGTGGTGGAGGAGGAGGAGGTAATAGGTTAGAGCTGACAATTGATTCTGTTGATCTATTGGTTCCTGAAGAGATGGCTAATGACTCTTGTGATCCTGAAATGGAATTGATGCTGAGATTTGATGGGTTATTGGATCCAATGAATGGATTCTTAGACATTAATTCAGTACCATGAATGTTATTTGATCCTATATTAGACACAGCTCCGGATTTCAAGTTTACTGATTCCCAGCTTCCGCTAGATTTAGATGAAGATTCCCCATCTATGTTTCCTTTCACTTCAATAGGGATACCAAATTTTCCCACCAAAGAAACCGTTGATTTAGATCTTGAAATAGAAGAATTTCGAGATAAAGGAGGACTTGAATTACCCGATGAATGATTGATCAAAGTTTGTGATCTTTTAGACAATGACCGTAACAATGATTCAGATCTCATTTGATGAGTTTGGGGTCTTTTAGATATTGGAGCGTTTGTAAAAGAAATGACAGCACTATCCTTATCATATTTTGCCTTTTCATTATTTCTAACCAATTGAAGTTCATCAAGACTTTTCTCTAATTTTTCAATCGTTTTATCTTTTGATTCAATTTTCAATTGCAGTTCATTATTTTGTTTCAGTATATCCCCATTTGATAGTTCCAAACTCTCCTTCAGTAACATTATCTCTTTTTCCAGTTCACCAGTTTTAAGCTCATATTCTTTAACTTCATGCATTGCTCTTCTTGTAATATCATCTGTTGTCAATTGATCCATTAATTGTTGTATGGCGATATTCATAACACTTTCAGAGTTCTCATTTATTCTAGAATTAGATTGAATTAGATGCTGGATAATTTGATTTAAAAGTTTCAAAATTTTTGCAGATTCTGAAGTGGTACTTGTTTCATAAATAGATAAAATTGTTTCAAACAATTTTGCATTCAGATCTAATAATTCCTCATCACTACCAATCCTTGACCTTATTGACCTAAACAACATATCAACTCTTGAATCTGTAAGGTTTAGCTCAGCCAATATATCATTCGAAAAGACAAATTGTTCCATTGATTTATACCTTTCAATCTGTTCATCAATCAATTGATCACCAATCAACTTCATCTTGTGGAAAATGGAATAAATACCAGCCTCTTTGAATTTAGAGTGTATGATTTTTTTATCATTAATTGATTCAGCACCTTCACAAATAGAGATGATCAAGAACAAAGAACTAAGCATCAAATCTTTCAAAACAACGTTATTGAATGCAAAATGGTCTTCCTCAAGCAATTCCTCTATGGAACTCATCCATTTTTCAAACAAATTGAGCTTTGACACTTTATTGAATGCTTTTAACAAATTATTTCTTCCTAATGGAGGACTCCAATAACTAAGTAGAACCAGAATGTCTGTTAATAGCTTCTTGTTTAACAGTTTTTGAGAGCTGAACATGATATCCACAAGGAATACCAAGATTGAAACATTTTGAACAATTAAATCAGTACCTTTTTTCAAATTAACAATATTTTTGAAACATGATATGATTAAAAATTTCTTATCCTCATCGAAATTTTCGCTATTCTTTGTTTCTATTAGCTTTAAGTGACCATCAACTAATAAGAATTCTTCAATAAATTCATGGCCCCTCAATAATCTTTCCAATTTATGCAAATCTTTCATATTCAACTGCCGTATATGAGAAGCAAACCAAACTGCGTCGGTACTCTTATTTTTATTGCTGTTGGAATTGTTTGCGTTATCTCTGTGGATCAAATTATGTTCCTGACATATCAATCTCCATTTCCTCTGTATTGACATTGATTTCAAATTCAATTTAGCTTCCTTTGTGAATGATCTTTTATGCAAAAATTCTTCAAATATAGATTCAACGATTTCTGATGATGGAGGCTCATTTATATCAAAATTCAGGAACTCATAGTCTATTGAAGGAGATGAGATAAAACTATATGCTGAATCAGTTGAAGAGCTGGGTATCCTTATAACATCTTGGTGTTCCTTCTTTATCTTTTTGACACCATTTGTAGTTAGACCCATCCCAACAATGTTTAAACCTAAGTTTGCCAGATCATATTTTGGATGTTTTTCTATTGACGAGCCACCATGAGGGTCAGATATATGGCTTGCACTATTTGGACCTAAACTCTGTAGCGGTGTGGAATCAAAAGATGATGATGATGTTGTTGACGATGACTTGATGCTCATCTTCAGTTGATCTTCAGCAGCAACGCTTGAGTTACCGCTGGGTATCATTTTGTTACCAAGTTGTATGTGTTTATTGGAAGAATACCTGGAACTTGGTGTCTCCTTCTGTTGATTTCTCTGATATATGACAGCGCTAATGGTGGTTGGACCCTTTGTTCAATGTTTGTTTTTTCAATACGATTCGATCTCGTGTAAACAAAAGCTTGAGTCAAACGCGTATGGAACTGGATTTTTTCTCACGTGACTATCCCGTGACTTGGCACGTGAATAAAAATTACTTGATTGGGACCAACTCGGTTTTTCAGAGGGGAGCTGCCAAAAATCTTGGAAACCATGAATTAGAGTCTGGAGAAGTGAAGCTCATCAGTGCAACCAACGATGGTGTCTATGCGAAGCTAAATGAAACCAATACATTCCATGAGGTTCAAGAAACTCACTCTTTTCATAATAATCAGGTTTCCTGGTAAACATACTAAACCAGCTAAGGTCTTAAAATCTAATAGCTCAAGGCTATGTTGTGTTATCACTTCGAGTTTCACCTAAAATTGAGTACAAAGCTCATACTCTTCTGCGCCCTAAAATCGGTATCTACAAGGCTTGAATTGATTCAATGCGACTGATTAGCAAGAGTAGCGCCATATACAGGCTTTAGTTCCACATGATTAAGCGTGTCGATGGCTTTCATGTCGTGTCTTTCTGTGCTTTGTTGAAGATCTTGTTCTTTGCCCAATCTGAACTTGACTGCCTCTGTGTAGGCAGAGTGACGCTGGGCCCAAAGGTCGCGGTTCTTGATTGGGAGCGAAAACTGGATCTAAAGGGAAACTGGGCCACTGCAGCCGGCAAAAGGCAAAAGCTTATTCTGCTTTGGAACAGACTCCAGCCCACTCTATTTATTTCTGGTATGTTATCAAGGACAAAGCTTCTGTTCTTCAAAGTGTACACCTTTACCTTCACCACAGTCCTCTCTGCCTACGCCCTCTGCCTACGTTCTCTGGCCTCTCTGCCCACGACGCGCATCCTCGTCTTGTGTCCCAGTTTCCCAATCGAGCGTGAGCCAAATACAAATTTGTTCCTGAGTGATCGCTGGTGTGGCGCGTACCGGGAATTTCTCATGAAGTCAAAAAAAAAATTCCCTTTTATCGAATGCTCTTCTTCTTGTCATTTAACAATCGCTTCAAATACAGCTAATTCTTGGACTGGATCAGATAATTGGTGCTTGTTTACAAGAGTCAACCACAACAATAAAAACCAACTCACACTTTTCTGTCGCTTATTCACTTTTCCTCATAGAGCAGGCTCTTCCATTTTATATCCCTTTTCTTACATTCGCTGCTGCTTGTTGGATTGCTAAAATTAGCATTATCTACCAACATTACCAAGAAGAACTACCAAACAATCAAAACATAGATCGTTCGTTTAAGATTTAGTTCTTGAAGTTTCAACAAATTTGATCATCATGGGTGGAAATTCAACTGGTATCGCTGTGGGTTGTGCAGTTGGTATCCCTTGTTTTATAGCATTCTGCGTTGCGTTTGTTTTTTTCCTAAAGACAAGAAGAAGATTCAAAGAAGAGGATTTAGAGTTCAGTAGACATCATGATGTTGATGAAATGAATAAAGATTTGAGCTATAATAATTTCGAACAGTTGAAGATGGAACAAGATAATACAAATTCAGAACCTTCAGAGGATTCGGATCAAAGTGGCCATCATAATCAAGATTCAGGAATTGACGATTCAGAAAAGAAATCCACTCAAACTTCAACTAATGAATCTAAGAAGCAGAGGTATGTCCCAGCTTATAGAAAGAAGTTTAAATCTTCAATTACAAACTTGAATAATTCTAGAAATTCATCATTCTCAAATCTACAAAATGGTGGATCTGCTGTACAAGGTTCAAATTCATCAATAAACTCAAACACAACGAATCAGACTGACTATTTCTATAATAATATCCCAATGATGCAAGATCAATCTGGAACAAAACAAGCAGATTCTTCAAATAATAGTTTGGATCTTGCAAGATCATTACAAGTCCCAACCCCATCATATTCTAAAAAACCAGCATTCACAAAGAGCTCGTCAGTTTCAACAAATGATGATGAGGATGACTATGATTTAAAGAACAATTATAGACTTGAGAATGAACATGAAATTCAAGAAGAGGATCAATACGAAAATGAATTTACAAATTATAGTGAAAACAAAAGAGCTTATATAAACAGCTTGAGACCAAAATAGTTGAAGAACTAGTTATTTAAATATTTATCAGGACAGCTTTCGGGGAAAGATATTGTTTGTTTTCATTTGGTTTTCGGTTTTCTCATGATTTATGTATGTGTTTTCATTAAAGTTATATTCGTTTTTTTTTTCAAATTGTTCATTCACCTTCATTAATGTTTTACTCTCTTTGGTTTGTTTTATTGATTTCAGTTCTCTTTTAGATTTAGGAAAAGGTTTTTACAAGTTGAATAATTTAATCATGATGGATTATATGTACATCAAACTAATATATTTGTAGTTATTCATAAAAGGTTCATTGAACAAATATTCTATTTACATTAAAACATTTCATACTAACTTTTTCCCTCAACTAACACTAAAGTCAACACTTTCATCAGCTAATAAATCATATTTTTTACCTTCAACTTCCAAGCTCCATTCATGAATCAAAAATTCATCACGTCTACTTTTTCTATCAGCAACTAATCTAATAGTACCCCAATGTTTAGAACCTTTAACATCAAATTTAATATTAACAGCACCTTTCACTTGATTTAATTCACCACTGATCCATGGATAAGCAGTTTTAAAGTCAATCTCATCACCTAAAACGTCTCTAATAATGGCTGATCTTCTCAGGAAATGCAAAGTTGTGGTAACAACAGGTGAACTCATCTTTTCATAATTAAACATAAGAGCAGCCGAAACACCCATCAAGATCCAGAATCCAATAAACTGCACACGATTTCTTGTTCTATCTTTGAATGGATCTGGTAATTCTCTGTCAATAGTCATTGGTTTCTTCTCTTTTGGTTCATTAACTATAGCATCTTGTTTAATGGTAGTTGTACTTTGTGATCTCATTGAAACTAAACCAAAGGCTCTAGGTCTCAGAAGAGAGGTTGCACTCTTTGTAAATGTAGGTAGTAATCTTGATCTCATAAACATCTCTCAAAATTAACAAGCGTATAAGCTAACGTATTGAAACCTTGCGCACCTGTTCCATGCTGAATTTATTCAATTCCCTATACTTTTTCCTTAAAATTTTCCAAACCAGCGCTCTGTGCGTACCTGTACCATCTTTCTGCCCAGATGGGACCTGCTAGGCGGAACCCCCTAGAAGGAGCGCTTTCTCTGCCTAGATCTGCCAGAATCAGGCAAAATGTGTTTTTTGGCCAAATTTCAAAAGTTGAATTGAAAACAGAATCTTATCACTAAATCGAAAACCTGATCTTTTTGATATTGACCTTGTATCAACTTTTGACATCTTTTCTTCATTTTAAACATTTATAATCCATAATGGGTATAGTGAGCACTTTTTGAATTGTTTCCCAAAAATAGAACCTTGTTGAAAACTAACATTTCCCAAAGTTAGGTAAAGCTATCCATCTATCAGTAGATCTAGTCCTTGTATCAACTGCTTTGGCTGGTATCAAAAGAAATACAGGATTGACTCCAAAAACAGAAATCGCTGGTAATACAGAAGTGCAAGGATATTTGGGCAAATACTTGGATGTTGGTGAATATGTCTTTGATTCAAGCGTAGGAATCATGAACGCCTCTGGTTATTTTGTTAGAAAATGAAATATTTTGGCTGAAGAGGTAAATATTCATTTAAATTTTAGCTTGTAAATAATTGAAATAAATGCTGGCTTTCAGTTCTTGTGTTCTTTTATGGTATATATCTATTGTCACTTGTGTAAACTACTTGAAAAATCATGTCATTAATTATCGTATTCAATTAGTTATTACGTATACATCACCACCTAATCTTGACCGACATCTTCTCATGAAGGATTGAAAGGTAGAATCCCAGCCAAACCTTCAATATCCTTAAGATCATTCTTGAATTCATCATCATCAATATCTTCTTCATCCTCTCCGAATACACTGTAATATAAACCCAGATCATTAGCTCCTCCATTGGGCGTATTTCCTCTTGGTGGAACAGTTTGGGGAAGTCTATGCATGTTGGAACTTGATTGTATGTTGTTACTGTTGTTGTTATTCACCACTTGACTCAAACTTCTCATTGTCTCCCAGAAATCAAGCTCATCTTCTAATTCATCTTGATTAAATGACGGTTTCCTATGTGAATCTGTAAAGCCAGTTGATGGTTGGTGACGACTTGAAACTGCTGGTCTTTGCTTTGATCTACTATTGTTACTGCTTGATCCTGATAGTTTCCTCTTCCCATTCTTAACGTTCCCATGTTGATAATGTTGTTGCTGTTGATGATGTCCTGAAGGATTCAATAATCTAGCCAAATCACTTTCTTTCGTGGTTATTGTATTTGAACTTTCTAATTGGGGTTGAACCATAGGAGGGAGATAGTTGAAATGTGAATATCTGTTTGGCATGACCAAATCATCAGGATTTCCTGAGTTCTGTGAAGTTGTTGATTCAACTGGGGATGCACCTTTTGGAAGTGATCCAGTTGGTGCATAATGATGATGGATATGTTGATGAATAGAAATTTTCAAATCATATCTTTTGGCGTTTTCAATCAATTGCTTAGCTAAATCGGTTGTTGAAATATTACCATTTGACAAAGTTAACCCGGATGTATCCTTCAAAGTGTATTTCCAATCAATTTCTGTGTTGTGTGGTTTAGGAGATTCACCAAGGGCACCAGAATATGATGGTGAAGCCATGGATGTTAAAGATGGTATAGTTCCATTGGTTTGAGATTTCATAGATTTAGATCTTTCAAAACTATCACCATGATGATTGCGAACTCCAGCGTTCCCTTTTAATTCATCATTTGGTGTATCCATTTGTGTCTGTCTTTGTCTCTCCAAGTTTTCATTGATTTTTTCTAAAGTTGAAAATCCACCTTGAATTGAATCTAATGCTTGCTTTATTTCAGGTAAAGCCTTACCTCTAACAACATCGGTAACAATCTTTCTCCATCTGTTTCTGCAAGTTAAACTTGGTCGACTCTTCATTTCCAACGATATTGTACGCCATTTTGTACCGTATAATTTCACTTTCTTTATCAACTCCAAATCCTCTTCAAGGTTCCATGGTCTTAACCGATCCTTCGTGTTGGGATCTAAAACTTCAATATAACGCTTAGCACATTGATCATCTGTTCTACCCGGTATATCTAATGAAATCTTTTGCCATGAAGATCCATGAATCTTATATGAGGCTAACAATTTTTCATCTTCTTGAGCTGTCCATTTCCCCTTTTTCAAATTTGGATCTAATGAATTGGTCCATCTCTTTCTACAATCCTTTGGTTTTCTTGTCTGTAATTTCTCTCCAATCTCTTCCCAATCAATTTCTTGTGGTAATTGCGTCTGATTGACATCCCATGAGTTGTGATTCAAAGATTTTATACCCTCTTCATATCCTAACTCTATCAACTTTCCATGCACTAGTTCACTTAATCTTCTATCCTCTTCTTTGGTCCATGGTTTTCTTGAATCTCTTCTGAAAGTTGTATATCCTAATGATTCCGTTATATCTAGTGGATTGATCTGTAATGCTTTCTTCTTTTCAGCCATCTTGAAGGGGGGTTGTGTGTAGTATAGTTGTTGTTTATGATAAAAATGTAAACCACCCTGAGACTCAAAAAAATCTCTCAACTTTAGGATAAACTTCAGTTCAGCACAATCAAAGCTCCTATAGTATGAATGTTGATTAGATCCTAATTATATAAAGCGCGCAGTAAGCTCTCTATCAGTAAAAATCAATCCAGATGAGTGAGTCAAAAGACGTTTTAACTTTAGTGTATCTCTCTTTCTGAATCAAAATAAGTCACATAAATTTTTTTTTTCTTTTTGGTAAACTGTCATCGTTCGGGGCAACAACAGTATAAGTAAATTGTGCCAAAATTATACATTATGAGATTTGGAAATACTTCTATTCTATTGTGTATTACGCCTATTGACTATATATTTATGTTGGAAAAAAGGTTTATTAAACTCATCAGAAGATTTCACGTCCTCGACCAAAATCATAAAAGCTTATAAAATCGTTACAATGGGATCTTTCTCTCTTCTCTTCGGCTTCTGGTAACCATTTTTGCATGTTGGATATTCTTCTTTCAGTACCAGGATGGGTAGACAAGAATTCTGGTTGTGATATACCAGATCTTTTCTCCCACTTGGACATTCTTTCCCATAGCCTTGAAGCCTCTTTTGGGTCGAAACAAGCTTCAGACATCAACATTAAACCAATGTAGTCAGCTTCACTTTCCATTTCTCTGGATGCTGGCATTTTGAAGACAGCGTTTATCAGCAATGAATTGAACATGTCAGCACCAGTCAAACTGTACATAATCAATCCCAGAATAGCATATATCGGAGTCTTGGACAAGTTCTCACCAGTGTGTCTAGCCAATTGGTGAGCAAACTCATGTGATAAAACAGTAGCTATACCATCATCATTAGCACAAATTCCCAAGATCGAACTAAAGACAAAGACTTTACCTCCTGGAAGAACAAAAGCGTTTGGTGGTGCATTTGGATCATTGACAATATGAACTTTCCAATCAAGATGTGATTCGTCAACTGGACTAACATCCAAAATCTTTTTGAAGATACCAGTGACTTTCTGAGAGATTGGGTGATGTGAAGGTAAGATTTTGCCTCTATTCTCAGCCAAAACTTGCTTATAGGTATAATCACCGACCTTCTTCTCCAATCCTTCACTTATCCATATGAAACGTCTTCTTCCTGAGACTGGAGCTGGCTCTAGATTTGCAACATAAAATATACCTGATAGCACTAGGAATCCACCAGCATATTTACGGAAATTTGGGTCATAGATGAAATGAGATGCAACAGTACGGTTATTGAATCTTCTATAAGTTGAGTGGCACCTAACTGCCAGTTGGTTATTTCTAGGTGTGAATTTGGTGAACAAACTGCTTTGGCCTCGCAGTTTAAATAAGTTTTTGAATTGGAACATGATGGTTCTTTGTAATGCTGCGATGATTTCTTGTGGTACAAGGTAACTTCAAGAGTTCAGTTTTTAGAATCGGAGCTAGTTGAAGAAAGTTGAAGCTTCCAGAAAAAAATTATAGTACAACTTTTACAAACTCCAAGATCATCAATCCAAGAAGACAACTGAAGAAAACAAAGATGGGTAAAGCGGAATTTGGTACTCCAAAGTACTTTTCAAATCAAATGAAGGCCAAAGGGCTACAAAAACTAAAGTTTTATTGCCAAATATGTGAAAAACAGTGCAGAGATGATAATGGGTTCAAATGTCACATACGAAGTGAAAGTCACTTGAAAAGGATAAAGCAGGTTGATTCACATGTTATTAATGACTTCTCAAAGCAGTTTCAAGACTACTTTATTTCAAGTCTCAGAACATATCATGGTGAAAAAAAAATTAATGCCAATAGGTTTTATAATCAACTCATCCAACAGAAGGACCATATCCATTTGAATTCAACAAGATGGTCTTCACTTTCGCAGTTCATACAAGATATAGCTAAACAAGGTATAATTAATGTCAAGGTCGAAGATGAAAGCGATCAAAGTTTAAACGGTTTGGATATATCGTACATTAACAACTCAAGTGAAGAAATAATGAGAAAGAACAACCTTCAAAAACATATTGATAATGACAAATCAGAGGAACAGTTGAATATGAAACTTTTAAAGGATCAGATCAAAAGAGGGGAACAACTGAAGAAAGATGAAGAAGAGGAACAAGAAGAGAATAAGGCTTTAAATAGACCAGCTGATGATAATCCTATCAAGATCAAGTTGGGTGGATTGAAGAAGCAAGATAACACAGTGAACCAACCAAAGAAACTGAACGCCTTCAAGGTCAGTAAGCCATCAAAAGCTAACCCTTTGAAGAAAAACGTATTGAAGAACTAGTTATAGAATATAGAAACCTGCCGTGAGGGAACAAATGTACGATTGAATGATTGATAGATCGGGTGTATCATGCGATTTAAAATGGATTATAACTATTGATCCCATATTCTCTCCAGCTTTGCTTATCAATTCTGCTTTCAACCTTTTTGCAATAACTAGATTCCATCAATTTTATGGTTTCAGTATGGATATCCAAACCATGAAGAATTAAAGATTCAATCTTTAGGACTTTCACAAGGTCCAATAACTTGTATCCAGATACTTCATTAAAAGAAAGGTCAAGTAGCTTCAAATTCTTGAATAATTCTTGTTGTTTCAATGCTGTCACCATTTGCGTCAAAGAATAATCATTAAAATCAGTTGATTGATTAAGGTAAAGTACCTGAAGATTTGGACACCATTTGAAGAAATTCTCAAAATCAAAAAATCCACCATTTACATGAACTCTAAATGGACCTTTTTTGAATATAACATTTTGACAATACCCAATAGATAATTGTTGCAACGATGAACCACAAACTTTGAGGATTTTGCTCAATCCTTGCCATGTTATGGAAGATCCAGTCAAATCCAAGATTCGAAGATTTTGGAATATTCTGCTCAAGTAAAAAGAGTCATAATGCATCAAATGTTCTGAATATCTAATCTCCCTTTCTCTTAATGCAAATTTTTTCAATTCTTTGAACTCCAAAAGATCATGAGATTTGAAAAACGTTGAAAGGTTGAAATTATCATTATTTTCAAACACTAAAGACTGGAGCTTTGGAAGGTTTTGTAAGAAATTGAACTCCCTGCTTGCAGTATTCAAAGTTTGAAAGTCGTAACCAACAATAGTTAAAGATTTCAAATTTGGGAACGATTGTACTTGGTTTAAAAAATGGTCAAAAAATGGGATCGATGGATATTTGCTCTTTATATCTCCCACTAATGTAAGCTTTTTTAAATTTGGGAATGTATGATCATTAGCTTGGTATCTTCGTAAAGTTGATGGTCTTTTGTTATCGGGTACACGTATGAGTTCAAATGATTCAAGATTGGGTAATAGTTCCAATAACGACTCTTCGGCTGTTGGAACCAAAACACAAGACAATTTGAGATGTTTCAAAGTTTCAAGTTTCCTCAATGCAACACTATTTCTCTTTAAACAATCAACGAGCTGTTCTGTTGTGACGTCCAAAAAACTGAAATCCACGTCACCTGTGAAACAAATGGAGCTCTTATTCAAAATGAAATTCAATATTTGTCTTTCATCTGTTCTTCGAATTGAATGCAAACGAAAGTGATCTAAAGCTTTGATATGTGAGCTCCTTCTTGACTTCAATAATAGTGAAAAACATGACTGAACTTGTTTCAATGATGCGAATCTGGATATTGAAATGTTATTGAATAAAGCTGGTATTCTTGACAAAGTATGATTCCACTCAGGTGACACCAGAAGACAATTCAACACGTCTTTCAAAGGTAAATGGGAAAATATATGGGTGATGATTTCAATAGGTAGCCATAACAGTAAGTCAAATGATCTTGATAATTGACTTGAACCTTTCGGATTTAAAGAAGATGATGTCTTTGCTCTCTTTCGTTCTTGAGAACTGCCAGAAACTGATCTCACAAGGCTCTCAGAGGCTCTTTTGATGTCGGGGTACCTCTCTGATTCTTTCACCTGTGCCTTTTGTTCGTTCAATTTTGATGTAAGTTGTTGCTTTTGAGCCTTTAAATGCTGTAATAGGTTTGGATTCACTTTTATTCCATATTTTGTGACACCATACTCTATTCGTTTGACACCTTTGGAGAAAACCTCATAAGCCTTCGTTTCCTTTTTCATGAATAGCATCAACTTCCCCATCCTTATATAGCCTTTAGCATTGAAAGGTTCTATCGAGACAGCTCTTTGAGAATCCTGAACAGCTTGTTGGTAGTTTTGAAGTTTCTCATAAGCAGCAGCTCTATTATCAAGTAGAGTTAAGAGTTTTGGATGATTAACATTTTCACCTTGCTTCAAATAAGCGGGTCTTTCTGTTAGACCGTACGATTTCCTCAGCTTTAAAATGGTCTTCTGACTTAGAGACTCCACTAGCTCGATCGCTTTGGAATATATTTTGACACATTCATCATATTTTTGTAGTTTGAACTGCTTATTTCCAACCTCTAAAGCAGTAGCAACAACATCCTCTGATGACATTATATCATTGAGTGTGATAAGAGCTTCGAATTCACGAACAAGTTCCAAAAAGCGAATGCAAACAATAACTTTGCAAGGTTACGCGAAATCATGATGATCCATTATTTTCGTGATGGAGTCCCCTTACCATTTCTCTTCCTACATCAATACTGATGAGGTTGGTGTCAAGTTCATTAGAGATTGAAAAGTTGACAGCCGATAATTGTATCAAATAGTTCTTCAAATCAAGACTATTTGGAAGTTGTTCATTGTCTGTTCACACCTTAAAAAGAATTAAAATAGTTGACAACCTTGTAAAGTCACGTGCACGGTTCTGAAAAGTACGCTAGACAAAAAAAACAGAAGCGTAACATTTCAGCTCTGCCTCGAATTTACTATGAGGCTTGAGTTTTCAACCTTTCACATCCATTGACATTCCTTTTCAAGTTTTCGCATCACATAGAGGTGTTACGCTTCAATCAAACTGGACAAAAGTCTATCAAAGTTGTGTTAGAGACCTTTTACACAGGGAAGCGCGGACAAAACATTGATGCCAACTAAAGAACCGAGACCATCATCATTCATCAGAAAGAAGCTGGTAATTTACAGTCATATCGTTCTTTTACCGTGATTCCAAGGTCCTTAGCTTCATCAATGAATGGCAACTCGCTATCGGAAGGATCAAACCTACCTTTAAGCAGGTATAGAAACAAATCAAGCTTATTATTGACACTTGTGTCGTCATTTGGCCTTTTGGTATTTGTTGCAATAGGTATACTGTCAACTCAAGATCACATAGGAGCTGACTCACCACAATGCCGGCCAATATATATGTATCCGTCTTATGCTAGGGTGACAGGGTTTGATTCTTCACATACAAAATTTGCTTCTAAATACAATTTGTTTCTTTACCGAGAACAAGGAAAAGACAAAGTTCCTACAGAGAATGAAGAGAATATACTGGATGGTATACCTGTTTTATTCATACCAGGAAATGCAGGAAGTTACAAACAAGTTAGATCAATAGCTGCTGAGGCATCTAATATTTTTCATGATCATAAACATGAAGAACAGTTTAAAGGTCGTAATTTGGATTTTTTCTCTGCTCACTTCAATGAAGATTTTACAGCTTTCCATGGAAGAACAATGCTTGATCAAGCAGAATATTTGAATGATGCTATCCGTTTTATCTTGTCCCTTTATTCAAATTCTTCAAATCCTCCAGAGTCGGTGTTGCTACTTGGGCATTCAATGGGAGGTGTTGTTAGTAGAGTGATGTTAACTCTTCCAAATTACGTTGAGAATTCAGTGAATACAATTATATCACTTGCATCTCCACATGCTGCTGCTCCTGCTACATTTGATGGTGACATTATGAGGGTATATGGTGCTACCGATAAATTTTGGAGAGCTGGATTCTATGGTGATGAATCTAGTATTTCATCCAGAAGATTGAAAAATGTTACATTGATCTCCATAACAGGTGGTCTTTTAGATACTACGTTGCCAGCTGATTACACGATAATGAATGGGTTAGTTCCTGATACTAATGGGTTTACAATGTATACCACAGGGATTCCTGGTGTATGGACACCTATAGACCACCTTGCAATTGTTTGGTGTGATCAATTAAGAAAAGCAGTGGCATCCACAATGTTGAGTATTGTTGATCCCTCTTCCTCCTCAAGAACTTATCCTTTGGCCAAAAGAATGGAGTTGTTTCGTCGTGGTTTACTATCGGGCTTTGAGGATTATGCTGCTCAAGATTTTGCAATAGCATCAAACTCAACAGAAGTAATTGTCAAATTGGATAAGAAAGATGTTGTCACCTCTACTGGCTATAGAACAATGCTATCATCGCAAAAAACATCTATCATTGACCTCACCAACATCGATCCCAATTCTGTATTTTATTTTTTGAGTTCCTTAAAACCATCTCAAACAATAAAAGACAACTCCAAACCTTATTTGATGTTTTGTGAAGATAATCTTGGATTACCTAGCAGGAAACAGACTATTGATCTCTCATTAGGTGCTTCAAAAGATGATACTTTGGAATATGAATGTGTAAATATTGGAAGTGATGTATATCCAGTCCCAAAATCAACCAAGGATATAAGTGAGGCTAGCCGTTCATCATTCGGGGGTGATCAATCACCATTTTATGCTGCACAGATAAAGTCTGACTTGTTCAAGAAATATAAATACATATTATATGCTGGACCATCAGATGCTGACTCCTCCTTCTTTGCTACTTGGTCTATTGACAGATTTGAGAGACAATCAACACAAGTTAACAATAGCATATTGTCATTGTTGCTTGGAGCCACGGTTGAGCTTCCAGAGTCCTACTCTCTTGTTCAAAACATTCAGTTCAATTCCATCATTAGCAGTTTGTTGAGTTATAAAGTTAAGTTTGATTTTGAAAAGATAGAGGATATGCCGTTTGAACCTTTTGCAAGGCAATGGGTTGAAGATCCATTTGAAACAAAATGGCAGTTGGGCTTACAAGAGAATAAAAAGATCTCATTCCATGGTATTGCCCCTTATACACCATTCAAGTCAGCTTCCAATCCCCTTCATTTTCAAATTTGGGCACCATTCTCTGAGTGCCCTCCAATGGTATTCATTAAAATTGATATAATTGAAAGTTTGAAGCTATGGGTTCTAAGATATAGACTAGCAGTTGTCTCTTTACCTGTCTCCATCATTGTTGTTACCTTGATTCTTCAATTTTTAAGCTTTTCCAAAACTGGCTACTTCCCTAGCTTTCAAGAAGGCTTGATTAGCTTTTCCAGGTTGATGGTACCGATCTGTTTGTTTGTTTCAGTTTTATCTCCTCTGGCATGCAACCCAGGAATTCAGAAGTTGCTGTACTATGTTGATCTAATTGCTGTTACAAGACCTGGTGAATTGAAAGATGTACATGTCAATCCCTATTTTTTGGGTATACAAGAGAAGCAGCTCTGGATTCTTGGTCCAATCTTCATGTCAGTTGCCTTGTCCCTTGTTTTCACGATTAACTTCATTCTTCAGCTCATTTCTATTGTGATTTTACAATTTTACACTGTTTTAAAGTCAACTTTCAACTTATTCGCTGGTTTAAAATCAAAAGAGACTAAAGTGGCTCTTGGGAAGACAACCAATGGTGAAATCACTGAAAAACGCCGTCTTGCTGGTACCATTTTGCTACTAGGGTTTGTAATGTTTTATATCCCTTTCCAGTTTGCTTATGTTGTTTGTTGCATTGTTCAAGGTATCGTGTGTTTGAAAGCAGTTATTAGATCTTCAACTCCAATCAAAGAGAAGGAGGTTTCTACTAGAGATTTAAATTTCCTAAATTTCAACAAGTCCTTATTTGTTTTAATGTTGTGGATCGTTCCAGTTAATGTTCCAGTTCTAGTTGTGTTTTTCCATAATATGGCTGTCAGATGGGAAACACCGTTCTCATCACATCATAATATTTTGGCTATTTTGCCCATCATTTTAACTGTCGGTAAAAATGTACAGGGTTTTATGCTTCCACAACCTCAATTTCCATTACAAAAGAAAGTCACTGTTTTTTTACTATCCTATTTTGCATTTTTTTCGTTGGTTTACGGTGTTAGACATTTGTATTGGTTGCATTATTTATTCAATTTCTTTTGTGCTTGGATTTTTATCCTGTTTTATGAAGGTTTACAAAAACCCCTTCAATAAGTTAGTTTCAATAGTAATATGTTATGAGTTTGTTTAAAGTTGTCTCAATATGACTCCTACAGGATGTTTTTCAATTAACCACAACGTTAAAATTACCCCCAATTAAATAATTACTATACACTGAAAAAAAGTCCGATTCAAATTATACATATAATATTTGTACTGTAGCAAAACAAAAAAAATTAAACTAAGAAATTGTCCTATGGTCTCGAGCTATTATTTATTTGATGTGTTGTCTTTGCGATGAATTCATCATCACCTTCATGGTCATCAGCAAACCAATATCTTTTAGCTTCTTCTTCAGCAGCAGTTGAAGGTGTAAATAACTCTTTATCTTCAAAATCTTCTCCTTCTCTTTCATTAACAGAAGGTGAGTAAATTTCATATGGATACTTTCTGAAACGATGAGATTTTGATGATTCACCATCACCTTTCAAGGTTGAACCACGTTCTGACTGATGAATGGATCCTTTGATTGTTGATGGTGTATAAACATGATAACCTGAAGATGTTGGAGTTGGTGCATTGTTGGCACTAGCGGCCCACATTGAAGACAATGGCAATGATAAAGTGACCAACAAAACAGAAACAGCAGGTAATGAAACGGCTTTGAATGATGGTAGGGCATAACTTAAAATAGTTAATATAGATGGGATAATCATTGTTTGAGTTGACATAATTAACAAGATGTGGAAACTATCAAATTGTTTCAAGCCCAAGTATCTTCTTGATCTGATGGCCATAACTAGCTTACTAACAAGTACCAAGGACATAAAATTGACTGAACTAGCAAAAAGAATAGTTTGAGCATTGAAGGCATAAACTGAGTGATGATTGTTGAAAAGATCAATGATTGATTTGATACAGTTGTAAAAATATAATCCAGTTGTGGCTAAAGCAACTAGTAGTGATAATCCAATCAATGGATAGCCAACCATTTTACCATCTGGGTGGTTGAAGATCGTTCTTACTTGAAATACCATTGAAGCTTCAATAGAAGCAGTCAATAGAACTTGTAAAACATTTGTAACAGCATAAACATTCAAAGCCTGTTGCTTAATCAAAAATTCTGAGAATCCTGTGAAAATATAAGCAAGACTAGAATATCCACCTAATAAATAATTCAAATAAAGCCCTGAATGAAGCACTAAAAACAATAATGAAAGTTGATTAAGAATGAAAACTGGAGTTTTTCTATTATTTGAAGTTAACCACAAGGCAATCATAGCTAACCCACCAGCACCAATTCTCGCACCGAAAATCATTGCATCTCTTAGTATGGTGTGAACATAACTATCCATATCAGCAAAAGTTGTTGATATTGGACCTTCAACAGAGGTAAAATTGAGAAGTTGATAAGCTGGATTGAAGTCAGCAGGGAGATCTAAACTCATGATGTATATGTAGTAAAATTGGATAAACAACGAATGGATTTGAAGTAACGTAAGGCTATTTGAAAACAGATCACAATCAATATAGGTTCTTTCTTCTTTTTATATAAATCATGAACAATAAAAAAAACTTGAAACCAAACGTACAAATAGCCTCATTTGAATAAAACAATCAAACTGAATACACTTTTTCCATCATTTTGTGTTTTTTTTTTTGACAGAAGCGTTAAATTGGATGCATAGATCCTGATCAATAATTACCGTATTTGTTCAAGACAATAGGTGAAAAATGTGTGAAAGGTTTAGCATCAGATTTGTTTTGAGATTGCCTCAAAAAGACGGGTCCAGATACACCAGTTGAGCTTTGAATTGCAATTGAACATCACCAACCTGTTGAAACCTGATCATGTGTTTAGTTAACTCAAGATATAATAAGCTTTGAAATTGATGAAGTAGGTGGCCGTTAATTGACTTGCACAAATAAGCGCTTGAAGAACCAAGGTCGAGGTCTTGTAAATAAAACCCAACATCCAGCTTCAATATGAGCATTAATAAATTTCAAATAGTTATGGAACCATAATCATCACACGTCACTACCAAGCGTTGTTTATTATTCATTTGGCTTCAATCGAAGTAGCTGCGCTTTACCCGCGAAATTGGATTTTTACCCGACCCTTCAAACATGTGTGGCTTAACCAATTTCTTTAAACCGTTGTCTTGGAGATTCTTAGCGCCATGATGAGCTGAACTTCACGGTATGTAATTAGAAACAGGGAAATGTTGATGGAATCTGGATGGGTTGCAGTATCAAAGCTATCGATAGGAATTATGATCAAGCTAACTCATGACGTGGTTTATTCGATTGGTGGGCAAGAAAAGCTATCCACAATACAGCTTATTGATTGATGTAAAGAAAAAATATTAATCATTAAGTAGATAAAAAACTTTTAAAACCAAATTAAACAACATCATATAAAGACTTATGACAATTTTGTACACTAGAGTCTCTTCTCTCTGTGTGCGGAACCCATAAAACTCACACCATTATTAAAAAATAAGTTAAAACCAAACATAAAATACAGTGATATAATGGCACTATCAATCAATACCAATATTATAATAGAAGATGAAAAACGAATGCAAGAACTGCACAGAATTGAAATATACTAACCAGACACTTTTACCCACTCATAACTACCAAACAGCAAGACAACATATTAATCATAACAAGCTTCCTCTTCAATTTCAAACTGTCTTATTCGCACTATAGCATCAAAACTAACAGACTTGTTGTACTTCTTCCCAGAGTTACTTGACGCAGTTCTTTTCTTTGTAACAACACTTGAAGGTGCTTCAAATTCCAAAAATCCCAGACTTGTGGCTCTTTTATTTTTGAGTATTGGCTTAGCATAAGAGCATTGATGACCAATGTTGTCCAAGTAATGTTCATCCACAAATATATCTTCATTCTTTCCACCCAACCCATGTTCGTGTTCATCATCTAAGCTAGCCGCTGTGCTAGCACTTGTCATACTGCTAAAGCTACTGGTTCTGCTAGGCACTAAGCCTGTTCTATCAAAACCATAAGCCGTAGAGGAAGATGTTGGAGGTTCTATTTGAAATACTTGATGGCTTAAACTTGATGAACTTCCAGCCAATGGGCCATACAACCAAGTTATATCACAATCTTTGTACCAATTAACCATCTCTGGGGGTACTTCTTCTAAATCAAACTTCATCTTTGCCCATTTTCTCCATGATATGTTTTCTAGACGATCTATATCTGTACTTTGAGGGATATTGTAATTGTTTTGAGTATTAGCATTGTGGATAATCTTCCAGCAATTATGAATCTCAATCTCATCAAATTGGTATTGGAAATAATCAATAGCAAATTCTGTTATTAGGTGATCATTAGAACTGCTTAAATGACTAAACTTCTTTGTAACGACGTTGTATTGGTCGTCGAATGAGTACCTCATAGCTTGTGTAGCTTCTTGTTGATAGGGTTTAGATTTGAAGGAGGAGGAGGAGAAGAAGAAAAGAAGATTGAGATGTGTTTAAGCAAGTGAAGGAATTGGCAAGATATTTATAGTGGAAGGCATGGCCATAAATAAGTCTTGATCATGAAGAGCATTTATCCCAAGATGATTAATGCTTGAAAATCGGATTTTTACACAGACCCATCGAATCAGAATTTAAATTGGCTTTGACCCATCCTGCAGTGTTCCGGGGCAGAAATTCATGATGAAAAAACTCAGTGATTCATTTTATACGACACATTCTGGGCCACGATAAGGTGGGACGGTGCCTGGTGTCTTTGCACACTTGAAATTCACTGGATCTTGCCTGGAACTGCGCTACAAAAAGCGTGGAGAGTACGTGTAGTTCAGCTCTTCAACACATAATCTAGGTCCTCTCGTGTCCCTTTTAATCCGACCTCCTTTATCTTGAGATGTTCATTAGCAAATAATTCAAGCGTGATAATCATTGGAGCTAGCTGACATCACAATCAACGAAGTCTGTGAAAAAAGTGTTCTAGAAAGAAAGTGGGTATCCTCCACCCAGCGGAGCACTATTAATACCACAGTAGCTTTTTGACAAAAGAATATTATTCAAACAGAACTCCCAAATTCCAAAATACACTCCAATCAATATCACGTCAAGATGAAATGTTTCCCAATTCACCTCTGATGTACTTGCGGTTTTTCAATCAACTAACGTCAACATCAGCTAGCTGAGTGTATATATCTCGCTGGAATAGATGTTGACATTTTGACTGTTGAGTCTTGACTGTTGCCTCCTGTCTCCAATTTTTTTTTCATTTCTTTTTTATACTACGTTTTGAAGTCAGGATTAACTTTGTTGATGACGGACGTATATCACTAGAGCATTTCTTGACTTGAAGAATCGACATCTACATCTCCATCATGAACTTTAACTTTGAAAGTCAGCTTGTCCTTAATAAAATACAAGTTATATATTGGGCGCAGTGCCACTGTAGCTTGACATTGCTATTACATCTACAAAAGGTAGTTGCGATTACACTTTTCCTACTCCATCAACCAAGGTCCTATATCTCGATGAAGCTTAGAAGGTCTTGTAAGCTGAGCTTTGTTTCGATGTTTGCTTGCTTTAAATCGTGTAGATATAGTTACTAGCGAATGTTCCACTTCATAGACTGATGAAGAGAACGCAAGATATACTTTTCAATATCATAAGGGGCTTGGAAAAGGAAAGCTGCTTGAATCTTTTTTCATGATGTATATCCATAATGTACATCCGTCCTCGTTCAACTTTTGAGTGTACGTTGTAAAAGTACTATCATCGAAATTTGCTAGTGTACAGCTTATGGCACTTCTGAAGTATAATGAAGGAGTCGATAACACAAGGTCACCTCAATGAACACCTAGATTTGGGTTGTACAAGTTGAAATATTGTGGTGAACTAGCTGCTGCTGGTCATCCAGTCACAACTGTATGTATAGCTTATGCCAAAATCAAATTAGCTTCAGCTAACTCCAGGTTTTGCGTCTTCACGGTTGTTGTGTACCAGAGTCATGTCAAGACAGTGTATGTATGTACAATAATTTTATCCAGGTGTCACGGTCGACCATGGTCAACGGGAGACTCACCAAGATGATTCAAACGATCTTCGCTAGCTTTCCCCATACTTTGATTGAAAAGATTCAAAATTCACAGAAATATAGATACACAACTCTCAAACATTGTGCAGAGTTGTCCTTTCATGATACATTTTGAGTAGTTAGTTCTATAATTAATTAGGGGCTCAACTAAGTTGTATACCAACCAAAGTGTTGTGTAAGTGAAGACAGCAGCTACGCAATGATCAATCCTCCCCTTCTCCCCTTGATGCTTTATTTTTGACTCAAAATCTTTCGGAAAAACTGATGGCCGGGATATAAAGATTCCTTCGCCGTTTTCCACCGGCAGAAAGATCGACGTAAAACAGTTTCGCGAAATGCTGAGTCAGCGTGTGTCACATGACTTTTGAAGATTGCCCTACCCTGTGACTGTTCTGAGTTTTACACGCAGCAGTTTTTTTTTTCACCAAGCATGATGGAACAACAATAAAATTTTTCAAAATTTTTCACTTCTTGATCAACTACTTCACACTTCTATCAACTAGAATATACTAACTTAATTCAATAGTCAATCATGTCTCATAGAAAATACGAAGCACCACGTCACGGTTCCTTAGGTTTCTTACCAAGAAAGAGATCAGCCTCCATCAGAGGTAGAGTTAAATCATTCCCAAGAGATGACAAAACTAAACCAGTTCATTTAACTGCTTTCTTAGGTTACAAAGCTGGTATGTCAACCATTGTTCGTGATTTAGACCGTCCAGGTTCTAAAATGCACAAACGTGAAATTGTTGAAGCTGTCACTGTTGTTGATACTCCACCAGTTGTTGTCGTTGGTGTTGTTGGTTACGTTGAAACCCCAAGAGGTTTAAGATCATTAACCACCGTTTGGGCTGAACATTTATCTGATGAAGTTAAACGTCGTTTCTACAAAAACTGGTACAAATCCAAAAAGAAGGCTTTCACCAAATACGCTGCTAAATACGCTAACCAAAATGGTGAACAAGTTGAACGTGAATTGGCTAGAATTAAAAAATACGCTACTGTTGTTAGAGTTTTAGTTCACACTCAAGTTAAAAAAACTCCATTAGTTCAAAAGAAAGCTCACTTAGCTGAAATTCAAGTTAATGGTGGTTCAATTTCTGATAAAGTTGACTGGGCTAGAGAACACTTTGAAAAAACCGTTGCTGTTGATTCAGTTGTTGAACAAAATGAAAACATTGATGTTATCGCTGTTACCAAAGGTCATGGTTTCGAAGGTGTTACCCACAGATGGGGTACCAAAAAATTACCACGTAAAACTCATAGAGGTTTACGTAAAGTTGCTTGTATTGGTGCTTGGCATCCGGCTCATGTCCAATGGACTGTTGCTCGTGCTGGTCAAAATGGTTACCATTCAAGAACTTCTATCAACCACAAAGTTTACAGAGTTGGTAAAGGTGATGATGAAGCCAATGCTGCTACTGAATTTGACCGTACCAAAAAAACTATTACTCCATTAGGTGGTTTCGTTAGATATGGTGAAGTTAAAAACGATTTCGTCATCTTGAAAGGTTCTATCCCAGGTATCAGAAAGAGAGTCGTTACTTTAAGAAAATCATTATACACTGATACTTCAAGAAGAGCTTTAGAACAAGTTACCTTGAAATGGATTGATACTGCTTCTAAATTCGGTAAAGGTAGATTCCAAACCCCAGCTGAAAAACATGCTTTCTTAGGTACTTTAAAGAAAGATTTAGAATAAATTCATAATTCCAAAATCATTTAATTAAGGTATTGAAGGGAAAACCAACTGGATAAGCTGAATAGTTATGTTTGTAAATTTTTTAAATATAATGATTAAATTCTGTTGAAATGGCATAATTTATTGTAGTGTTTGTGACTTGTTTGTTTAAAGTCTATACGACAATATTGTCGATTTACTGGTGGTCCAGGCTCTTCTATTTTTGTATGAGTTACTCATGACGTACAAGATTTTCTTTTGAAACATTATAAAACTGGTGTAGCCTTGAACACTAGTGGTGATTTGTGAATATACCTACATCAAACATATCTAAACCTGAATAAACCTTTACTAGTGTATTATATAATTAACAGAAGAGACTAGCTGACTAACTAATTTTAAGATGGCGCACCTTAATATAACTTTATGAATTTACCAGAAACCAACAAAAGTCATTAATAGGTACTAAAATCCATATTAATTCAATAAAGCGAATATTATCTAACCATCAAACAGCAGAAACCAGTTGACAAAAATCATCAACGGTTATAGAACTAAAACCAAATTGAAAAGCACCAAAGAAAAACCGAACAAAACCAAAAACATTACCAAAAATCAATAAAAAACAAAACCAGTTGTTAAAAGAATTGAAGGACAAAAAACCAAATATATTTCTTATCACACACTGCGACGAATCATTTTAATCAAAGCATTTCTCGCATCATAATTCATACTTTCATCTTCAATTTCATTCTCATCATCCATTAAACTTGAATTATCTGAATTTGGTAAGTTTTCCAAACCAATGGTCTGATTAAATTCACTTAGTAACGGATCTGAAGTCATTTTCAATGGCTCAATAAACATTTCATTGTAGTCTTGAGAGGAATTTTCATCCAAAACACCAGAAATAGAAGGTTGTGATTTATGCGCATGTATGTTTGATAATGAACTAGATCTCCCTAAATTGTATGGGTTCTGGCTAATGTTCATCAGTGATTCATGTCTTGTAAACGTTGGTCTTGCTGAAGCTTGAGGAATTGATTTTGAAACTGTTTTAACTTTGATAACTTGAGCTTGCCCTCTTTCATCTATAGAGAAACTCAATTGAAATTCACCTTTAGTTGGACTAGGAGAGTTATTTTCTTGTGGCTTCAAATTTGGTGAATTGAATGGATTTTTTGGTATTTCATCAATCTTTGGTAAATGAGCACCGTCATTTTTGTTTGATTGCCTTTTCAAGTCTGGTAACTCAATTGGTTTCATTTGAAACTTGATTGGGCTTGAAGTCAAAGGATTTGGAGATGACTGATTAGCATAATAACCATGGTATAAAGGTGAAGATTGGATAATTGAAGAAAAACAAGAAGAGGCCAACGAGTTTGGAGTTGCTGGGGATGAAGATAACATAGTGGTTTGTGTTCTTGAATTCAGTTTAGTTCCTTTTCTTTCATTGGTTTTGTTATCAGTTTGAGACTTTTTTTTATTGTTGAAACCATGCGAGTTAGGCATTGGTGATGATAATAATAAGCTTGGGTTGACTGAAGTCTTCACAGCTTTGGATGAACCACCAGTCAATGAATGGATACCTTCTTGAGCACTCAGCGAAATCTTTGTTGGTGTTACAAAGTTATCCATCGTAAAATCATTGTCCTTTTTGGTCTTGTTTGCAGCTAATGTCATTGAGTATATAGCATCAGTGGATGAAGAGCTTGAGCGCTTAGCTTTCTTACTCACTGGTTTTTCTTGATCATTATTATCCAGCTTCATCAGCAAACCACCTTTTGGTGATGGATTCACAATCCTTTGGATTGGTGAGCTTTGACTTTCTCTCCTTTTGCCTCTAAGTGGTGAAATTCTCATTAGAGGGGCGCTTGCTTTTGGTGTACCTTGTTTAACAACAGCGGCTGATAAATGAGCAGCAGGACTTGGTTGGCCATCGGATGCTGAAGGGCATTTTGGTGGTCTTCCACGACGACGTTTTTGAGGTGGTGTTGTAGTTGAAATCACAACGCTTCTAATGGGTTTTTCATCTAGTTTCATTGGTGAGCTCACATTGGCATGTCCATCAAACTGTGTTGAAGAACTGAAATACTCCATACTATTGCAAGACGATGTTAGTTGATGTTTTGAATAACTCTTTCAATTAAACTTACTTCATATTGAATCCTTGTGAATCTGTGAAAAGCAGTGACATGGAGAAGTAAACTGATATCTCTGGTGTCCAAGATCTGTGTTGTTGTTGACCTCAAAAATGTAGTACTCAAGTCAAGCAAGTGGACAAATGAATGGGGTTAATGAAAGACTTTGAAGATGAAGTTTATATTCTTGTATGAATGTTCAATAAGGATAATGAGCCAGAAAGAAAACAGGTAAACAGGGAGTAATTTTTCAAAACACTTAAAAGTAAAAATTTGACGTCTGGATTCTGAAAGTTTGATCACCTGTATATAATTTGATCCACTTGGGAATATTCTTCACCAGAATTAGAAAATTGAATGCATTGACAAATTTTTAGACTCAACAAGGAAAGAAAAAAAATTCGACGTGTCGCGAGAGTTTTGTGAATTTTGATTATGATAAGGCCACACACCTTCCTGTTATGGCAAATTAACGCGTTACGCGTTGAAATTTGGCCAGAAATCTATGAAACTCAAAATACACAGCTACACTAACAAATTACAATGCACAGATTGAATTCATCAAGTGTTGTTCCATATAGGTTCCAAGTTCTAATTGGACATATAACTCAAAAAAGTGGAATTAGCTCATCGCACGTGCCCCTGCACGTGACTCTAGCAAAATACCACGAAACACATTTTTGAGCTGAAAGATATTAATAGGATATTTTGACCCAGCAAATAAGTGTCTTAAATGTAGTTCTAGGTAGGCTCCTTGGCTTAGAAAAACTTTTATGTTGCAATTTCTTTTTTTTTTTTTTTTTAATTGTATATTCTGATGTGTATTTATAAAGATGAAGTCCTAATGGTTTGTTAATTAGTTGATTCTAATTAGGTGACTGAACCACTGATAAATAATATAATATATAATTTTTTTGCCGGATTTTTCACAGCTAATTAATTTGCAGCTAAGTAATTATAAGTTTCTAATTTTATAAAAACCAAATTCAATATGATCACAAAATTAGATCAATAGCGCGGTTTCTCAGTTGGCTGAGAAGGATATTATAAGGAAGCCTGAATTCCAACATAGCGAGAAGCCTACAATCCAAGCGGTTCGTGCGTAATTGCATTCCTCATCCAAGTTCATCAAATGCATGATCATGAAACTAAAAAAAAAAAAAAAAAAAAAGAAGCAAACTTTTGAAAAACGTACAGCAGATTAAGACCTGCTAGCCTACAATAATACATATCTAGCCCTTCCCATTCAACTGCTCATTATTTTAGCTTAATTTTATGCTTTGTATTACTAGAAATATTCAGTTTTGAAATTTCTCAAAATTTACCCGACTCCGGATTTTGGCGGAAGAACGAACACCAGACTCTTCACTTGGACATTTTCGATTTAGAACAGCTCGTAATATAAAAGATCACCTTGCTAACTTTTAGATTCTGGCAGTAATAACTTGATGCATGACTACAGGTGTGACAGAGAATTAAATAACCGACTGAGACTGCTTTAATCAAGACAAGGCCGACATACGTCGAGCCATATTAACCTAATTACTAGTAACGCTCGCCGGCCTCCTAGAGCGAATATTGTTAATTATGTTGAAGTAGATGGTATTTGAGATACTGAATTATCGGATATTGTCGGTGATTACATAATCAACATAGAAGGATCTGGAAACCATGAAGTTGAAGATTGGGTACACGTTAGAATGTCATAGAAAGGTTTAGAACGTGGAATGATAGTCAAAGATGGCTATGTTTGCTGTATGAAAAGATTATAAATAAAGGGCATTCTACCCATGTTGAATCGTGTATAGTTTTGTATAATCTGGGAGAGACAGAGTTATAGTGAGTATGACTAATAGATTAAGAGACTAGTTATAGACTTTGTGATACTTTAAGGTCTGTTATCATTACTGTTGAATATAGGTCTTGTTATACAATGGTTTATGTACTCTTCAAGTTTCCCTGTGCTTAACAAGTCAGTGTTTGATCTTCTGATTTCTACACCCTTGTTATTTTAATATGTCAACTAATTACAGATCCTAGGACGTCACGTCAGCAGCACGTGCAAAACATAGTATACGTCTGTAATAATAACTTTAGAAGTAAGGACGTTACGACAGTATATTTGATCACGTAAATTTACTAGCTTCGACATTAAACGACCTGCGAGTTGCACGACTAGCGATACATGAACAAATGTTGATATTTCGAGTAACATTTGTTGTTGATCGACTGTGTGTCGTCCAAGCACCTTTGGTTGTATAGCCAAACTAAATATTTTACCAGAACAGAAATTAGAATCCGTCCGACAATATCATGGTGTAACATTCACCCCATTTTTGCTTAAAATTGGTATATTACAGCAGATACATAATTTCCTGACCCGTACATGTGTATGAGTATGAAGACTTTCAAAATTTCCAAAAAGCAATGTATCAAAAAACAATAAATTAAATCAGCAGGGTCAAACTAGCCCATATTGTACAGTATATCGACTTGTTATAAACGCCAGAATTGTTATCTTGAAATTGATTACAATCATTTAAAGCCCCCTATGCTGACCAGCTATATTTGACCACCACAAATGGTGACAATAGATGAGCATATCCTATCTCAAGTAACTCTGGTATCTGGAAAACAAGCCGAAAAAGAAAATACTTCTAGATTGTCTAAAGCAAAAAAAACCCATCATTACTAAAACCACCATCAGTCCTTTGACTGACATCAACAACATCGGAATCAACCATACCACAACTTTGTGGAGTAGCATCTATAGGAATCTCTCGACCATCCAAAACCAGCTTAATTGAATCAAGAGGGATCTTAGCATTCTCCGCAAAGATTTCAGCAACTCTTCGTAACTTAGTGTTTGATTTTAATGCAAAGTAAAGACGGTTATCTAATCCTGCAAAAGCGACTTTAACCTTGTTTTCAATATTGGAATTGACACCACTGCTATCTGAATCATTTGCTTCTTGAACACTGACGTCGTGACCGTTAACCTTGGACATGTTTTTATTGTAATGAGATTTGGACTTTTGATTGGGAGATGACGTGGTAGGTAAATGTGGATGTTTGAAGGATGAAAATGATGTGAGGGATGTTATGATATGATAGGGGATGTTGTGACCTAATAATCAAATGTAGTACATGAAACCTGAGAACAATAACGATAAGTGTAAATAAAACAAACAAACAAACAAACAAAAGGGTTAGCCGTGTTTTTTTTTTCGAGGAAAACCTCTACTTAAATATAAATTTTTGAAAAATCCGTGTCCCTATCAGTAGTTGTGCCAATTCTGCTGACTAAGCTTTACTAGACTATACCTAATTTCACAACAAGGTGCTAAAATTCTATTTTAAAGGCGTAATTCTTCAACTTTTCATATTTTTTTGGCTAGAAGATTTTTTGAATCATTATTATTGTATATTCGATGGTCGTTTAGTCTCAAAATAACGTCTACGGCCATATAGTAGACTCAGCGTTGCTTGGTCTACACATTCAGCTTGGGAGTACATACCTCATTATGGGCAAGATACATACAGTATTATTGACAAGTATATATCAATGATCATATCAGCGAAATTGAACACTATGGAAGTATGTCTATTTCCACAATTGACCCATTCTCTATTCCAAGAGCTTCCGGAGTGTCACTCTTTCGAACTTTTCTCCCGTTTATCTTAAATTCTAATTTCTCAGGTCTTAAACCATTCTTTGTAGCATAAACACCAAAAGCTTTCTTGAATTTTCTCTTTACCTTTGCTTTGAAATACACATTGCTATATTTTCTTTCCTTATCTTGAAGAACGAATGTAACCTCTTCAGCCTCTGTCCTGATAACTTCGATGGTGTTTGTTGTATCAGGCAATGCTCCGATCATCAACGGGGTATCTTTTGGGTTGACCAATCTATTCATGAACCTGAAAGATAAATCTTTCTGATTATCTGTTGAGATTGCCTTAAATTGTTTGAAAAAGCTCTCAAATGTTTGGTCTTCGTAAATTGAGATATCTAGATCTTTTGATCCTGAAAAATGGAACTTGTAACAAATAGGATCATCAACATCAATAACGGGAATTTGGGTGGATCCATTGTTTGTTATACTTGAAGGTAAATAAGTATCTGGGGATCCTTGAGAAAGTAATGCTGAAGGTGCATCTAGGTGTTCTGTAGCTGTTTGTTGGTTGCCAGGTGGAAGTTCAGTAGTTTCATCAACCTCACTTGTATCAGAAGGTTTACATTGCTGAAATTTTAGAGTCTCCTTTATCTGAGGAGATTGTGCAATTTCTTTGGAGCTATCCTTTGAATGGCTTGTTGATTCCAATAATCTTTGTTCACTTGACGGAATTGTGGAATCAGACACCTTCTCTGTAGCTTGTCTAAAACTTCCAGAACGTGAATAGTTTTGAGCAGCCAGAAGATCATGCCCTGCTGTGCCTTCCATTAAAATATCACCATCAGCATCCTGTTCTTCATTACTATTTTCAATAACCTCAGTTGCAAGTTCTTGTCCCAAAGATTCATCAATCGGTGTTCCCTCGATCACAGATGGTGATTTACTTTCATTAACCTCTGTACTTATTTCTTTGACTTTTAAATCATCAATGATAATGTCTGTGTGTAGTGCGTCGCTCTCTGAGCGATGTTGACTGATTGAGGGACTTTGGATTTTATCCTGATCGTCATTTAATTCTTTGTTGAGTGTTCCGTTCACTTCAGTTTGTTGGTCAACATCAGAGTTAGAAGGGACTGAATTTGCAACATCAACATCCATTATCTCATTAAACTGATCTTTTCCTGCTTCTTTTCCAAACTCAATTAAAATACCATTGTAGATCCCAAGGTCCTGCACCTTTGACTTGTAACAAGCTAAGTTTCCTTCACTTAAAACATCTTTACCAATTTTCCTTATAGCCTCTGAAGAGTCTCCAGTAATGTTTCTGTATTTCGTTGTAATATCTTCAACTGTTTCACTTCCATCTATACCAAGTACCACGATCCATTCAGACTTAAGTGAATAAATAAATACAGCAAGTTTTGATCTCTTTCTAGCTTGGTTCAATTTATAATCAAGTGCTAAAATCAAATCTTGGCTCACTGGGGCTAAAGATTCATAAGAAACGTCAATGACATCTAGATCATGAAGTTCTGAAAGTTGAGGGGTGGTATCTAAGCATAGTGATGAGCCTTTGAAGCTGAACTTGATTTGATCCATGGGCAGTCCAACAGCAGATGAAAAGACTCTTGCGATTTCAGTTAGTCTCACATCACCTTCCATAATAAAAGACAGACTTCTATTCATTCCTCGAAAGATCAGCTTGACGGTATTGATTTTTTTGGTGCATGTTGTTGATGTTTCTGAAAAAGTGGAATTTATCATTTTCCTCAGGTAGGCCTGCATTTTTGGAAAGCAAGAGCTAGCAAATCTGAACTATTGTATCAAATAAAGATGTTATCAATAGTTTGGAAGCAAGAGAAGGATACTTTTGAGTTCAGGAGAGAATGATGATTCTTTGAGTACATTGATTTGTTTATGAGATCTATTTTTTTTTCTCTATCGCTCCGGGAAGAAAATGAAAACTGTACTCTACAATCCCAAACTCCACCAGTTTAGCTCAAAATCTTGATGGAACCCTTACGAAGCCTCTACGCTGAGAGTGACACAGAGCTAACATAGCACAAACTCTGATCTATGAGAATTGAACGATAAAAGATTGATAGAGGTCAATTGATAGAGGCCAGTTTAACAGTTTTCAGTGATTAACCAAAAATTCAACGGAGCATCTACAGTAATCTTGGAAATCATCTATGCTACCTATTATTCATTATGTCAATCATAAGTGTTTATGTTAGTTGCTAGTCAATAAAATATCCTGAAGCAGACTGAGCGAAATATTTCAGTTCACCATTTTTCTTCTGGGTTTTTTTTGAACTCTTCATATGCTTCAAGATTGAACAACGAGATCTCAGTTTCATTGTCTAAAAGAGTATGTTAGTACATTATTCTGTCAAAATTCGAGAAAGTGAACACTCACCAACTCCCAACTCATGTAGAGGTTTGTTGCTTTCAAGGTCTAGGAACCAATCTTCATCATGTTCAAAATTGATAACCAAGTTCATTGTTTTTGATCCATGAGCATGGGTATATATCTTTAAAGAATCGTATTTGACGGTTCTGTATGGTCTTAGCCCTCCTTCTGTGCTTATTATCTTCTGCATATCATTTAGCAAATCTTTTGGAGTTTTAACTGATATATCATAGTCTTTCAAGATGTAATTTTTGACATTTCTATATGGAAAGGACTTTATTATTCTAATAGTCAAAATAGACTGGCTTAATGGTCTCACAGTTGAGGTCAGAGGTTCATAATCCGCCATGGTGAAGCTAATAACGATCTCACAAAGTCGATGAGGAAAATTGAGTACACTTGACACAATGTCTTGTGATAAAAGAAAATTTTCTGGAGTTAGTCTAATTTTTCTTCATGAAAAAATCCGGCTATCAAGCCTGAATTTTAAAATCTTAAAAACAGTAGTACAACGCAGGAAACTCATTAAAATGTCACAAAAACCACATCAGATATAAAGCAGCATCCTTAAAGGCCTAAAAGACGCTCTAAAACGCAAAAAATTGACAAAATTTTTTTTTTTTTTTTTAA